ATTTGCTATAACACAGCCAAAAAAACTCAAATAAAACCATTCTAAAAGCCTGTATCACAAAAATTTAAAAAACGCCTAGGGGTATTTGCCCAACTGTACCTCCATACCAAATTTCAGGACCTTAGGCCCTAAAAAATGAAGAAGCTGAATCCATTAAAAAAATGGCAGGAGAAGAAAGGAGGAGAAGGAGGAGAAGAAACATCAGAAAAAGCAATATGGGTTCACCACCACTTCGTGGTGTGGTGAACCCATAAAAATACAACATTTTTAGAACAACCTACCTGGTGATCATTTCTGTGATATTGTCTTCTGTCAACATTAGGAGAAGTTTGGCTTCATACTGTTGCTGAATCCAGATGTAAGTTTTTGCTTTGTTTGCCAGGTCCTGTTTAAAAGCCTGAAAATGCTAAATGGAGCAGTAAAAGGTACATTTTAGAATCAGGAATTATCTAACAAATGCATGTCATTTGAAGTGAAAGTACATTTGACATCAGCAACAATACTAATCTCCTGTGAAGCTATACACAATACACTTGAAAAGCACATAGCTGTGGAACAAGTCATCACTTTGATCTCTATCCTTTTTCAAGGTTTTCTACAGTGATGCACAGATACATGTAGCACTATGCAACTAAACCTAACGGACATTGTCCCTAAGTCTGACAGAGTCTGAACAATCGAAAAAAGTACAAAAGTATTTAGCAGTTGACTCCGGTGTTGACATGTTGTTCTTGCACGAGTCAAGGATGTTAACATTCCAGAACACTGCAAACATGGTGTATAAGAATAACCCAGGAAACTTTTAACCAAGAATCAATACACCTCACCAATACAAAACAACCAGAAGAAAGGAGGAATATCCCAGAAAATGTAACATGCTTTAAAATTGTTATCTACCTCCACTTCCTCCTGTTTAAGTCTCCCTCCAGCAGCCTTGGGACAGAAGATGCAACAAAGCAAGCTTAGACTCATTGGTGCAAATTGAAAGACAGACTCATTCACTGTCTTAGCAGACAAAATCACATCATCATGCAAAGACACACAGCTACAACAGTCCTCCTCACCATATCCAAAAAATCTATGAATGGCAAGGACATTGACGTAATGCACATGCATGCAGGTTAGTCTAGCAGAGAGCACAAATCACCAAAAATCTGAGTGCAGTGCGGGTTAGATTTGCAGAAGAGAAGAGAACTTGATGAACTTCACAGTCTGGTAAGCAGGTTTAGTACAATGCTTCCCAAGCTGACAGAATTTTATGTACCTTTGTTGGTCAATATGTTTGTTAGTTATTGATATCATCCCTCAAATTGCTGAACAGTTAGAATAATACATGTAGTATTGGAAGACTTTCTTAGCACTTTCTTAGCATAAGATTATAAGCACCACACATTGTATCCATTTTTACTAGCCAAGATTAAGCAAGAATTATATACCATGTATTAACTAAATACATGTATGACAAGGACAAAATACTCCCTGTGAGAAGGGGAGTTACCTGAAATTCATCCCCTCTACCGATACCGGGGATGCTGGCACTGAAGTCCTTCAGTCTGATCTCTGCTCGAGAGATCCAGGTCATCAGAGCCTGGTACTCCTCATTCTCCTCCCGGATGTGCAGCTCCACCTGGGACGGCTCCTGCATGGTGGAGAAATTGTTCAGTCAATCATTTCTGACAATGTCATTGTGTGCTTTTATCCTACAAAAAGCTTCTGCTTTACTTTGTACTTTTTTTGTATAACTCATTGTCTAACAGCAGCACAAAACATACTTAACTCCACAGTAAACAGCTTTCTTTATAAAGTAGATAAACAGTATTTGATCATCTGCACCACAAGTGTTAATGATGGCATATGAAGCCATGCCTCACCTGCGGTGTCTCCTCCCCTGTATCAGGGTAGGCCTGCAGGAACTGTGCCACGTATGTCATGATGGACTTCTCATCAGGCTTGCTCACATCCACGTCCTGGTGTGGAAGATTAAGACAGAATGGAAATAAAAATTCTATCAAGTAGGTATCTCCATGTTCCCACATTTGTGTCAGTGAGGTCATTAAAAGTAAGAGAGGGACTGATAATCTACATCCAAATATTTGACCATGTTTTACAAGCCTGTCTCAAAATTCTGATAAAAAATTCAGAATCTGATGACTAAACTTTTCTATAGTATATGACAAAAGAAAAAAATTCTCAGTTAGTACAAACTGTCACTGACCTGGGGTTCTAAAATTCTTGGAATTCCTAGCTTTTCTTCTGCCGTAGTGAAGGCATGCTCCAGCCTTTCCAGGTTAGACTTCTGTTTTATCTCTGCCATGTCAACCAGCTCTGGCTTCACTGAGTGGATGAGAGCATTGAATGCTATACCGTCTCTCCAACTCTTCCCAAAGTCCTGTACTTCCACACCTGCAGTGCTCACTCGCCTGATTGGGATAGCAAAATTGACACACCAGCTTTAGATACAAGTAAGCACCTTTTGTATAAATGTAGTTATACAAGTTTTGCTTGAAAAGACTGTTTTACTTATTATTTACTTGTTATACATGCATGTTATTCATCTTGTTGAACTGCAAAAAAAAGGAAGGAATTTTACCTACAAATTAGTCATGCTCTTTCAACTAGGTATTGTGAGTGGTATCAACAACAAGGTTCTAATGATGTTTACACAGTGTGGTGTAATGTACAGCAATATTCATAGCTACATGAATGTTGGACTCACAAAACCTACACCAATATTACCTCTACTACTTCAAATAACTAACCTGGCTGCAGCCTTCTTTGCCCACTTAAGAAGGGCCTTTTTGGCTCCGGCCACACCTTTGAGGCTGACTACCTTCTTCTTAACTGGTGGTTCACCTGGAACAACAATCACAGTTCATGTTGTAAGTAACTGACCTTCACGTGAGACCAATTCAAATACTACTTGTGTAGTAAAACAACAAGTTAGCAACAATCATCCAGTAACAGTTAGTTATTCTAGTTATAAACTTTGGACCTAACGGCAGTGAACCTTAATCCGACACTTTTATGCACAAGCAAGATTGAATGATGAATCCACAACCAGACATTCGGTATTTTCGTTAATCATTTAGTGCATCTTGTAGCCTGTTTTTAACGCCATACCTATGTGTGTGTCACTCTCCCAACCATTGAGATATTGCGGGAAAATTGCGTCTTCAACATCGCTCCCGATTTCACCGTGCCCTGCGTATTCTGTTCTAAGCGAAACCTTAATCCGACGCCATGCAACAGTGTAGCTGTTTGCCTGTAATTTTGCTATTCACAACAACATTTTTTTCTCAATCCCTTTGTCAAACAACAGACACTTATACAAAAATAAGTCGGTAGGCCGGTGCACCGCGGTGCAGCGCTACATGAGATCACGTGGCTTGGGACTATTGAATTTACAAAGAAGGGGACCGCATTCGAATCAGTTACGGCGGGGCATTTTAGTTCCAAGAAAGGAATAATTGAAGAATTTTACAATAATGATACCAGTCAAAAAACTTAATTCTGCACTATTCCGAAGTATTTGTCACTAATTTTGGCGATAATACAAGTGTTGCGATGATTTGCCACATCCACGTACAGACTAGTGGTATCGTCTTCAACAACAACAACAAGTACATTTCGGATTCAAAATGGCGGTCGTGTTCGATCGGCCGCTGAATGACCATAACGAACTCGCTCTGTGCTTAAAAAGAAGGACACTTCTAGGCAAGTGGTTTGTCCACAACAGACACTTTATTAATTGTTTTTTATTCGCTGTGACGTTGAATGTATAGCATGAGGATGTAAAGGAGAAATTGTCGATGTTTTCACCACTGTCCTTCCGGAAGCTTCCTCCCACGACATGCCTACCAGTGTAAAACAGGCTGAAAATTTTCATGACTTCATCTCCACAACATGTTGACTTCGTTAGCTCACTGTTTCAAGTTTTTAGGCTGTATACCTTATTGGGTTTGTAAAGCAATTAAAAGATTTTGCATATCAGTGTTAGATCCTAACAGACAGATGAGTGTTGAAAAGTGTCGGATTAAGGTTGCGTCGGATTAAGGTTCACTGCCGTTATAGTAAGGTTTGGTCAGCTTTAACAAGTCCCTGTACTTTACGGACGCTCAAAAAGCGAGCGCGTGCGCGTGGTTTTCACCATACATACTGTGTGTTTTACTATGAGGATGGCGTTCAGCACCAAGGACAGGTACCGTTTGCATAGAAACATGTGGTGCCGAGGCTGATTGAATTAGCAGATTCCGGCTAGCTACTATACTTTGACCAAATTGAATACTTATTGCTGCTGACACTGCCTGTGTGTTTTTTTTTTATACAAACTAGTCCGAAATTTTTAGCAGAGAGCCATTATTTTTTGTGGGGATTGATTTTTGGCGGTAAAGTAGTTGTGGTTATCAGGGTAAATTAGACCAGTTGTTGTACACAGCTGTGTAGAAGTCACAGTGGTACGGTCCACTCAGTCTGCGTCTGTTGGAGCCACGCGGGGAAGACCAGGAATTGTTTGTCAACTTTTTGGTAAATTTTCGGCTTCCAGTTCGAAAAATCTTCATTCTAACTTGTAGAAGAATCTTCGGGGATGGTTCTACGGCGGACTTGTGCCGTTTTCGGGATTTTGGGCGAAGAAATTGCGGATTTCCTGACGAGGTGGATTTTGGAGAAGACGAGAAAATGGCGCCCAAAGGATGGCGGCATGGTCGTGGGGAGGGCTGAGTTTTCACAAGGTAAGGCAACAAGCCGTGACGTAGAATTTATTTTCCACAACCTGATAACAACACGTTTCGGTATATTCGTGGTAAATTTGTGTGATTTTAAGAATGCAACACGATGGTTTGTGTAGTTTTGGGTCGTTGTTGTTTCAATATATTTCACTGTGATATTCACTCTTCACGTCTTCTCCCAGAATATCACAGTTAGGTATTGCTACTCCTGAGTTTAATTTTCAAGAGAAAAAATAGACGTTTGTTTCTGTATATCTGGTCTAATAATTTTGCCCATTGTCTGTGAAACAGAAAGGAAACATGGGTAGAATATTTGTGGGAATTTCCCTCATGGAAAACACTAGCCTAAGAAAAAAAAATATCGATATGCATGCAACATTTCTCTTCATTTGGCTAGGTATTTCAGACTGGGATAAAATGACAAAGAAACACCACTTTAACTTGTTGTTTCTTGGATTTGCCAGCCTTTTTTCCTGATTAAAAAAACATTTACTTGTAACATTCAGGTTCTGTGTCAACCCCAAAATCCTCATTTTTTGCCCTAAAGTCTGTTTTTGAAGCTTCAATAATTTTAGGTATTGGATAGGAATTCTGTAATGTTGTTACATGCATCTGATTTGTTTTTGTTTAATCGTAGAACAAACTAATTTAAACATCGAACATTCTCAAGTTTATGAAACCAAAAATACATGTAAACCTCTAAATTTTATGTACATGTGTAAAGTTAGTGTAATAGTCACATACATGACACTGTGTTAAATTAAACCAACTGTACAGAGTACCCTTGAGTGTCTACAAATGCATATCAAGTCTTAAAAGTTGTTATGACAAGTCTCCCCCTGGGTACAATTTTTGTCATCAATACCCTAAATTGATTATTCTTTATACATTTAGGTGATTTAAGTGTTAGCTGTATGTTTTTAACATGACTTTTAAGCTCTTCAAAAATGTCATCAAAAGTTTCTGGTCTACTAGTAGTTGTTAAGCTTTTTATTGTCTGTGTATGACAGGCCTGATAACACCTTGTAACTTGACCTTGTTTTCATGTGATTCTGTAAGTTAGCTGTGTGCTGAGGGTTTGCCAGCTCTGCAAGTGTTCCTGTCCAGATGAGATCAGACTTGTGATGGCAGAGGCACCTGAGGTGATCGGATACAGGAGTATCAGGCCAGGTGAGGAAAATTGGAACTCTGCATTTTGCGTACCATTTATTTGATTATTTGAGACAAGTGTGTAACTTGGTATCTCTACATAGTTGGCTACTGACTGATGCTGTAGTGATGATTCCTGTCTGAACCTGACAAGACTGGATTGGACCAGACCAGACCAGGTGACCCCAGAAGACCCTAGAAAAGAATATCAGGTGAGAAAACTCTTAATTCTGCATTTTGCAAATTCCACTTGCTTGGTGTATTTGAGGAAGGTGTGTAACTATTTATCCATGCAGTGATTTGATTGAAACTTTAAAATTCATTGTCTGAATTGTGAACCAGCCCAGTTACAGAAGTTGAATTTGTGGCTCGCATAGTATTTGGAGTATCAAGGGATGCCAGGAGGACTAAATTGTTTTGCCTAGGCATTGCTTTATTGAAATTCTGCACAACATTGTAAACATTTTCTTAGCACGCCAATCATTGCTTTCAATACACTGACTTGTGTTCTGACTCTTCAAGATGACATTGTGGATGATCCGGAGACCAGACTTTAGCAGAATGAAGGACCAGACTTTTGTTGGCAGGTCTCAACTTGAGTGTGTAAAAGAAGATAGGAGGTGTGAGTTTGTTTCCTCATAAACACAAGACAACACTCCACATACACACACACTTGCACTCGCAGTTTTCTCTTTTGCCCTGAGTTCACTCTACACTGAGAGTCGGCAAGCCTGTTTTAGGTGAGGAGCTATTTGACGTTAATCATGTTTAATTCCATGACAAAGGACACTGAAAAATTCTTTGTATCGTATATTATGATTAGTTCAATGCCAAATTGCCCAAAAATTGTCACTTTGGAGCTATAACAAAAGTATCGTAGTCGGCCACTTCAATTCCACGTTTTTATCCTGAATGTTAAGCATCACTGAAAAATTTTTCATATTTAGTTGAACATGCCAAAATGCCGCAAAATTGTCGCTTTGGACATAAGCACAGTTGAAATTCTCCCGCCAAAAAGCTTTGAATTAAGTCCACGTTTTTATCCTCTTTGTATCGTATAGTGGAATGCCAAATTGTCCCAAAATTGTTGCTTTCAACCCGTATACTTCTAAATTCTCGTGCCAAAAAACTTTGTATCTTAGTCGGCCCTTTCGCTGCCACGTATCTTGAATTCATGTTACTTTTTTTAGTGTCAAGGAAGAATTTTTCATATAATGTTTAGCCAAATTGCCCAAAAAGTATCTTAGCCGGCTATATTAATGTCTGATAGCTATCCTCTTCAAAATTCTAGATTTGGACCTTTGTTTGCACTTAAATTGTCTTGCCAAAGTCCAATTTTTCCCGCCCAAAAAAACTGATTGGCACCCTTACCTGGTTAATTAATTGGATTATGTTTTCCCGCCAAAAAACTTAATATATAGAGCATTCTAACCTTGAACTTGTGCCCCCCTCCCCACTCTTCCTGCCCACCTCCCACACTTCTTTCACAACTCAGAGTATGTTAGTTACACTGTTCTCGGACTTCTAAGCACATGTATAGTCACCACAATCGGCTACACGAACACTTGGTTGATTGAGTGCAGTTTTTCCACCACTTAGACTTTAGAATAATCTCTCACTCTCCTGGTCAGTCAATGCACTAAGTGTACTCCCCGGGGGATGTCTTTTCGGAGACATTGATGCTTCGACACATCAGTATACCAGTGCAATTGACGGACCAGGAGAGCCGGAGATTATTCCTAAGTCTAAGTGGTGGAAAAACTGCACTCATTCAACCAAGTATTTGTGTAGCAGAGTGTGGTGACTGCATGTGCTTAGAAGTCCGAGAACAGTGTAACTAACATACTCTGAGTTGTGGAAGAAGTGTGGGAGGTGGGCAGGAAGAGTGGGGAGGGGGGCACAAGTTCAAGGTTAGAGTGATCTATATATTAAGTTTTTTGGCGGGAAAACTTAATCCAATTAATTAACCAGGTGAGGGTGCCAATTAGTTTTTTTGCTGGAAAAGACTTCAAGGAATCAGCAAAAACAAAAGCCATATACCCAAAGTTCTTTCAGACTACTCCCAAATTTTCATACTTTAACACTGAAAACTGTCTACTGACTTGCCTCACAGAACTTCTGTACCTTAAACACAGGCTACATTTCAATTAGGAAGCTTTTTTACATAACATGTCAACTATTAATAAATATAAAACCTCTCACTCAACAGTCTATCTACTGTTATGTAATTCTTTTTACCTGCAACTCTGGGGCCGTCTTTGCCGCACAAATCTGACATTTTTGCTGTGGTCATGTTCAGATTATGCTTATTATTACATCCTGAGTTCTGAATTCAACAATCTGAAGTTTTACAAATCAAAGTGACTTGTCCTGTGTTGTGTTGTATGTACCAGTGGCGGCCGCCACCAGCCTTTAGGCTGCCTGGCTCCCACTAATGTAATGCATTGTGGCATCACCAATAAATGAAAGTGGCCAGTTTTACTTCAGATACGCCTTTTTAAGTGAATGACAACTTAAGACCCTGCAAAATATTGGCTCTTGTGCAACTGGCTAAAAGTCCACCACCACAAACAAGTACAAACAGGTGTCTCCTGAATTTCTGTGAAGTTTCCGTGCTGTACACGCTTTTTAAGTATCCTTGTTGGGCAAAATACACCTCGCGATATTTTGCCAAAAATGGACTACTTTAAAAGCGTGTACAACACGGAAACTTTGCAGAAATTCAGGAGACACCTGTTTGTGGTGGTCAGGATTTTTAGTTCAGTTGCGCATTAGGGCTTGCAGGGCATTAGGTGGTCATTTGGATTGAAGTAAAACTGTCAACTTTGATTTATGTATCTTCAGATAAAGGCATCCTCTTCAAACTTAGGAATAATAAATGGGAGCACAGTCTGGACATAACCACAGCAAAAAAAAAAAAAATCAGATTCGTACAACAAGGATGGTCCCAGAGTGGTCATTTGTGTTCATTCTCTAAAACAAATTGCACACTACTTTTAACTCAGAAAGTCACTTGAGAGTATATGATCCTCGTATTAATGTTGATCTTTTGCAGAGACCACTGGGACCAGGAAAATAGATCCTCACCCACTGTCAAGGCCATACCTGCTGGTCACTGGACCTCACACTGTGACTTGACTACATCTAAAGCCTACAACAGCCTGTCTACCTGTGAAATGACTACTTTTAACTTAGAAACTCAGAGTCACTTGAGAGTATGTGATCCTCGTATCACTATGGTCTTGCAAGGACATTGTGTTCCAATGTCCTTGGGTCTTGTAAGACCGACGAAATGCCTACCATCTATTAATGTTCTATCTGTTGCAGAGGCCAGGGGACCAGGAAAAGGGATCCTGACCAACTGACATTAGGCCATACCTGCTGGTCACTGGACTTTTATCAACCTATCACTTTAAGTACTGTTTAGTTATACTACCTAAACCATCTGTGACTTGGCTACATTAAAAGTTACAAAAATGTAGAAAGCAGCTACAGAGTAATTATTGATCCATGCAAAATGAGTTTTGTTTTGCTGATTCCGTAAGTAAATTCCTCCCTTTCAAACATGACACACAGCTTATACCTGTAGTACATTTCACTCAACAGAAAGAAAGCACAACATTGCCAATGCTATTTTCTGTAAAGAAATAGGACATATTTCCAACAGTCATTATGAGACCAAAAGTATTTCCCCAGACATCGACTCCATCATTGCTTCAAAAGAGTTGTGGAACAACTATATTGTGTTTCAAATTTGTATATTTTGTTAAATATGAATAATCCTGCTTGTTATTTTACAACCAGAGACAAACACATATAATTTTAGGTAAATCAGAGGTAAATGCTTGAAAATTTTATTTTATTTTTTTTTATTTTATTTATTTGCACATTGAAACAAAAACATAATGCAATAATACAAGAATGAAGTTAAAATAGGTGCAGGAGGAGGGCAGAAGCATTATTCATCTTTGTATGTTTAATATTTTTTGCTCTTGCTTCATCATGTGGATTGTCATTTCTTCACACAAAGGATAATTTTTTTTCAGAAGAGACTTTGAAAAAAGGGAATCAAAATAAAGTTTTGTGGTTGTTTTGAACAGATTATCTTCTGAACCTTCCTTGAATGTTACATTACCTTACATTTGCACTGTCATACATTGAAAAATCAGAAAACAATTTTGTCAGATACCAACAAATGCCAAATATTGACTGCATGTTATCTTCAAACATAAATACGGCTAGAATTCATGATCATTATGAAATGTCTTTTCACTTTATCGTAATTTTCCATTTTGAATTCTTTTATTTGCCTTAATATTGTTAATTGTTGCTTTATCAAATGTTTTGCGTCACCTTATACATTTTTTCTTCACATGATGGACAATTGTCGTAATACTAATAGAAATGTTTTTTAAAAGGGTGGATGTGGATCATAATGAAGAAGATATCAGGGAAAACAGTTTGATCACAAATGCTGTTGAAAACATATCCCATTGCTATACAGAATGCATTATGAAACAACAATTATTAAAAGTGCTCTCCTCAATAGGAAAATGTACTGTGTTCTCCGTCATATTTGCAATAAAATATTAGTAACAACCTTAACCTAGGTATTACTAGTAGTTAGGAATGTGAACTCTTTCAGAAATGACAACAAATAGCAGGGAGGGCCAGGCCTATTTGAGTTTCAGCAATGGCATTTAGAACAAAAAATTCAGAGGATCGCAAACACGCCCTTTCCCAACATCTTTCATTGTCATTTTTAAGGGTCTGCATGGAAGGTCCTGATCACGCTTAGCGCGCTAACTTTTGTAAGGCAGTGACCACGATTTACACTTGATATTAAATCAGAGTTGTTCGACTTTAAATTTATGCAAATAGCAAGGTGCGAAATTCTGCAGAGCAACGACCCCGTATCATGATGCTTCACTTAATTGTACAGGCTGGATGTTTCATTCCACACATTACGTTTAATGGTGAAAAGAACGACCCAGCGTCCCGTTGTGCAAAGCTAAAATGGCTGATTACGCATCGCAGCAGGCAGACCCAATTTTTGAAAGAGTTCATAAATGAAAGTAGACTCACAGTCAAGTCCGATGTTCTCTTGTCTCGTGGATAGGTGACAGGTCCCTCAGAAACACAGGCGGGTCCTCCAAGAATATGGACAGGAACACAGGATAGCTGACAAGTCCCACAATGTCAAGCCTAAGGTGTAAAGAAAGATCACAGGCTAAATATAACTACTCACAGAGCATCATATATTGCATTTATAAGTCACATCATTTGTTAATGTTCTAAAAACCTGATTTTGGTTGGGGTTTGAGCTGAGCTTTATGATTTGTTTAATAGAACATTCTAGAAAAGGTACACATAGAATATCATGACCATAGAAAATCACATGTAATACATATATCACATAAAATATTATACATCAAAACAATCAATATGAAAAGTTAACACACATGTTGACAGGAAAACATCATACTATCATAGCCAATGGCAAATTGATACAGACTTGAAATACCTCATTTTAGAACGGTTACCATTACAACACATGAAATGCATTTCAAACATCAGTCAAACAACATTTAAGCACAGCTCATATTAAGGTAGTAAAAGGTGAATAAATTGAAAAATGCGGCTCTGAAAAAGCGCCCCTTAACGGCCGTTTTACTAAGTGCAAGCTTAAGCCCCTTTAACCCGGTCGCCACAAATACTTCACACCATGCATTCTGTGTTTTAGCTTCATTTCATTACAATACGTTCGGTTTAAATAGAAACCACTATATAATGGACAATGTTAAGTGCGACTCACCACCTAAAACGGACGTAACGCGTCTTCCAAGAAGAATTTTACCGGAGCTCTTTCCCAGTCCATTGCTCACTGACCGTCTTCCTGCAGCGTGGTCTTAGCACCTGACAAGAGATCACCAGAATTTGCATATTGTCAATTAATTAATTATATTAGATTAGCTTAGACGCAGGTGTGATCTCATTTGTTAATGAATCATCATAATTTGCATTTCTTTGCTAAGCTTAATAACGTAATAGACCAACACCATTATCATTATACCATTATTTGCCTTACAAATATATCATTCGACCTTAAAGATATTCCTTCAATCATTTATTTCAATAGATGACATCATTGGTTTTAAAAGGTTTGAACACAATACACCTTTACTTTACACAGTCCTGAATTGCAATATGCTTTTAACAAAATATTGTCTAGAGTGTTTCTCAGTTTGATATACCTTACAATATCATTAATAATGCAAACATTACATTTTGGATCAATCAACTATTCGGTAATTTTTTTTAATATTTTTTTCGCTCTTTGTGAAGCTAACGCCTTTCCTGGCGCCCTCCCCACCATTAATTTCTTTCAGAAAGCTACAATCTTTCCTTGTTATTTTCCTTAATTTAGTGCATTGAATTTCTCTATTTAAATCAATGAGGATTAAAGAATAATCAAAAGGCTGCCTTATCACTTACCTTTCTATTCCGAAAGAAACCCTGCTTCTATAGTTCTGACACGTTAAAATGAATCAAAAGCGCCATGGATCAAAAGCGCCCCGCAACGGCGATAAACACCACTGCAGTAATAGGAGGAACCATGGAGGAACTGAGCCAATGTATTGCTGTAGTTCTACAACGGACTGCTAGGGCCGCTTTTGATCCATGTACTGTACTTCACTTTCGTAACGTGTTCGCAACGTATCCCGAGTCCATTTAGCCACAGCACAGGCCTCTCCTGACATGCTAAATCTCTCCGGACGGCCATTTCTAATCATTGCCGAAATGTACAGGCGAACTATAAATTGAATCTGACCCCGTAAAGTACTAGCGGAGCGGAGCGTTCTTGTTTTAGTTTGTCGACAAATAGATCTTATCTTATAATAAGTATATCTTAGAAAGTGTGCGGATTGCCTAACGCTGCAATATAATCTTAGGCGCCTGGGGAAGCTGCTTGGTGAGCAGAATTTTTGCAACACCGTCTTCTGAAGCAAGAACAACCACCTTCTGACAAAAGTTCAATGTGTTCAATAATGCAACATTCGTGACCATTTATCAATCTTCCCTTTCTAGTCTTTTCTCCCTTCTTTAAGTTTCTCACACGCCTGGATTAGCACGATTCAAAGATAAAGTCATATTTGATCCGTATCTAATAAGAAACATGCACAAAAAGTAAAACACAATTTTTGTTTGTACCCACTTTATTACTGTTAAGTGGTAGAAAGATAACTGGTAACAATATAGCCAATCAATGTCGCTGAAGGCATCATCACACGTGTGTCACAAAAAAGCAGATGAATTTACAGAAATATACTCCACCATACACTATATATACATAATAATGCAGTATATACCTTTTATGTAATGGTGCTCAGGCAATAAATCACATTGCTATAATATAATCCAAATAAATAAATAAATAAATAGAAGACTGCCACCCTTAATGAGCTTTTCCATCAATGAACAATATCTGTGTTAGAAATTCTAATCATTCACTTTTCCCTACGCAGAGGATACCAAGGCCTGTTTTATATATTACAAAAGCATATGCAATCCAAATTTATGAACCTTTCCCATCATAAAGTATAATTTCCCACCATACAATATTCTATAGTTCACAAAAAACAAATCATTGCAACCATGGATTCTGTATATATACTGGTGCGACATTTGTTCCGACACGAGATATATACCACACGGCACAGCGGTGTCACATACACATAAGAAGGTGTGATAAGTATTACATTCAAAGCTATTTGTCAATTTAGGTTGCTCAGAAGTATAAATACTTTGGAGGCAGGGCCCGGCTCAGTGTTTTGCACGTATGTTTTAGGCTTTTTACACCTCTTTTTGTAGTCCGCGTTTATATATCTCTATCTCTTGTGATCGTCAGGAAATGATATAAAATGCATCAAAAACACGTGAGAAACACTATCTGCTAGAAGGTTATCAATGTCTATCCTCTCATGTTATGTATGTACAATAAAAGTCTTTATTCATAATCACCATCACTGGCCTCGTCCATCTCCCTCATCAACTTCTGTTTCCTGACAACAAGCGTATCGTATGTCTCCTTTACATGCGTCACCATGTCCGCCAACATTTTGGTAGTTGTGTCATCTGATATTCCTGCGTTGTTCTCGCGTGCGAAATCCTCCTCACCAAAGGGTTCATTTATACCGAAACCGTCCCCTCTTTCCTGCCAGTTTGCTACGATAAGTTTCTCATAGTTGACGTGGAAAATGAAGTTCTGAAAGAGCTCCGCTTCCTTGACTCCATATTCGAAGAGGTGTGCGTTGTGCCGTATGGTCTCTTCTGTCTTCAGATCTTGTGGATGGGTGACATGAAATAAAACCCTTCGCCAACTCTTCAACATTTTTGTACCTTCGTCCCTACTTTTTGGGTCCCGCCATTTAGACTCCGCAACGCTCAAATATTCACGGAGGTTTTTATACCCGCCAATAGCCTTCAAGTAGCTCTTACGGTTGGCCAGCCTGTAGCCTGAAATGGGTCCGTACATTTTCGACAGTTGTTCATTGACATGATTGAGCTTGTTCCGCCGTGTTTCTTTCTTCTTGTTCTCGAGATAATTCAGAAAGAACGTTACAATCAGTACAGCGCTGGAGAAAGCCGGCCACGGGATGTCATGGCAATAGATGTAAAGCTGCACATGAAAAAGAGAAGGTATCTTAGTAGAAGTCGTTACTAATTCCCATAATACCGATTACCACGTTTTTACAATCAGATACGTTTCAGTACTAAATGAATGGGATAATCATATCTGTTATACAATCATAAATATATATCTTAATTTACACACCGGCACCTCTCAATCTTTCTCAATTAGACCGGTACAATTTAAGTAAAACCTACTACTAAAAGGCTTGTGATGTTTACAACAAAACTCATATTTGTAGACACCGTAGAGAAGTTTACAAATAAAAAATTCTGGTGTTGGTAGAAAAGATTACTTACTTTTCTGTTGGACAGAATCGCCATAACAGACAAGGCCATAAGAAGTGCTGCCACACAGGCCTGTAGGGCAAATTAAAAAAAGCAAAACATATTGTGTATCCTGTAACCACGATTATAGGGGCTAAATATTTCATAGCGATTACAACATCAATACGCGAACTTGCTCCTGTAACCGTTTCTGTGTGCCCTACAATTAGCCTCAATGGTGAAGGCTAGAGACATCATGTCCTGCATGTTTAGTATGTAGACCACTACCTTGAGTATAAAAGGAACAAGGAATTTTAGCCTGATCGACTCTCATTGACGCGCTCGCCTCTATTCACAGAATCGTACATTTGTATAGTATTACTCACTGTGTATACGCGCAGCATAGATCTGCTTCCACTGATGACCCCACAACATCCTACAAACACCAAAATCACCACCGCGGCGCCAAAGAGGAAGACGCCGAAACAAGGTACCGGGGATAACCTGTTGTCCTCTCCAAGTACGAAGAATGTTGGCTGTCGGGCAGTTGCCCAGGCCCCGATTCCAGCAATGATGACACCGACGGCAAGCTAAGAAAGGCACCGGTAAATTAACGACTTTCTCAGCCGACATGAAACGCGTATTCAAGTAAGTAAAAAAGTAAGTAAGTCAGAATCACAGAATTAAAAAAATTATGGTATACAGTACAAGTAAATGGATGTACTTGTAATGTACATGCTGCTCGCAAATAGATACACTAAAATCCTTACCAACGGTGGAAGGGTAACCACAACCAAGCTGCATTTCAAACATCTGAGCATGGCCATCTTCACTGCATGCACTTCAAATTCGTGGCGAATACTGGCATGGGAGAATACTCTACTTGAATTTATTTTGCCAAGGACACGTCAGCTCATTCAGCTCAGGTTGCGTTTCTATTCTTTCTTTTGCACGATACCTGTCACAACCTGTTGGGGTTTGGACTTGATTGGTTTCTATACAGTTCCTCTTTTTGCTCCGCCCACAAAAATGCAGTTTGGTCGAGAACACCCCATTTCTTTGTATTTCATTTGTTTATCAAGGCCAAATATCTTGTGTTGTAACTATTTCTATAGCTTGTATTTACAACTTAACTGTAAGTTTGATCCGCTTTGAAAGCGTAGTCTTCTTAACGTTACGACTAGATTCCGTCTGACATATGATATGTTGACAATATAAACATCACTGTGAAAAGGCCACGTCGCAAGGACCACGGTTCAATGGCTGTGCAGGTGCCATATTCGCAAGTTCAAACATGTAGGCGTTTTTACCGCTATATACAGTTGATTTGAGTCAACATGAAGTACCTTTTTTCGGCGAGCAACGCGAGTTATGCCGGGGAGGGGATTTTGCCGCGGTGGGAGTTTTCAGCTGCCAACAAAAACTTCCTCCATGCGGCAAAATCCCCTCCACGTAGGTAGGAATGAGCATAACTCCCTCCGGCGTCGCAGGCAAATTGGACCCTCCATGACCGGCTAACTCCCCTGGGCCAGCTACATGTACCTTCTTTTTAGGCCGATTTCTACTATTTAGTCATCCTGCAAAGGAGTCTAGTGAAGACGAGTCTTTTGATACACGAAAACCTATTCGCTGAGTAAAGTTCTCTGTCAATAATTACATGTAACGCTCGTGATCATTCTGACGAAGACAAAAATGTACACAAAAAGGAAAACAAAACTTAGTTTGTTTCAGCGCCCACTTTATTACTGTTTTAAGAAAGATAACTGGTAACAACATAGGCAATCGATATCGCTGAAGGCATATCATCACACATGTGTGTCACAAAATTCATCATGCAATATATATCTGTTACGTAATGGTGTTCAGACAATAAATCATATTGGGATGATACAATCCGAATAAATAGAAGACCACCACCCTTAATGAGCTTTTTCTTTAATGAACAATATCTGTGTTAGGAATTCTAATCACCTGTGTTATGCGTTTTATGTGTTACAAAAGCACATTTATGAACGTTTCCTATCGTGAAATAATTTCCACCATCCATTATTCTACATTGCACGATCCCGACCATGGATTCTGTGTGTATACTGGTGCAACATTTGTTTCGACACGTGAAATTCACCATACAACAAAACATAAATGGGTGTCACAAATATAAGAAGGAGTGATAAGTACTAGCAGATACTTTCCGGTTCAGTGTTTCACACGTATGTTTTAGGCTTTTTTTATACTAGTCTCCACCAGACTCCTTTTGCAGGCTGGATAAATGGTAGAAATGGGCCTAAAAAGGGGATATAATTGGCCAGAGAAGGTGGCCGGCCAAAGAGGGTCCGATCCGGTTTGCCTGCACGGAGCCTTGTTCCGTAGATGAGCGGATTAATTTTATGCCTTTTGATCGTAGTGACTTCTCACAGACTCCGTGCAGGCAAACTGAAGCTTCTCTGGCCGGCCACTTTCGAATTCTCTGGCCAAGTATATCCCCTTTTTAGGCCGCATTTCCACTATTTATCCAGCTTGCAAAAGGAGTCTGGTGGAGACTATTTTTTATACCTCGTTTTGCGTTCCCAGGAAGGGATCGATATAATATGCATCAAAAACACACGAGAAACACTGAGCTGGACCCGCATCTGCTGGAAAATTATAAATATCCAGATCTACTCAAAGATCTACTCAAAACGATGTCTTGAAGAAAGCTTAGGATGACGGGTACTTCGCATCTTCTCTCAACCTGTTGCTTAGGCGCACCAGAAGAACCTGAGTGCGGTACGGAGGAAAAAAGAAGTTTGTTACGAACAGAAGAGAGTTTTACTTCTATCGAAAACGAATGGGAGAGCCACAAAGACGAATCATGTGCAAGAACAGAATGTCGAGGTTCTTACGTGCAGGATTGCGGCTCACAGCAAACCTTCTCACCCCACTGCCAGCAGAATGTCGGGCAATTCTAGTCAACAGAAGAATATAAAATGTCATCGATATGCAAAACATTGTAAAGACAACGTTATGGATACTACTACTAACTTTGTGCGACACACTTCCAAATACTAGTACTTTATATACATTGAATCTAACAACTGGATGAATTCACATATCAAAGACAGAGGTTGCAGTCTGAAACGCCTGACTTTGTTTTATTAGAGATCGTCTGTTTATCCAGATTTTTTTGTTTATCCACACATTTTATGTACTCGGCTGTCTGACCTTTTTCGACGTATGGAAGCTAAAAAAAGGGACTTATCGGCTATAGCATAAACTTTATAAAGGTTGTTGGGTTAGTTTCATTGACATTGGACACCTTACCACGAAAAGAGACATGTTTGCGTTTTAAAACTGACAAGGCATTTTTGATATTTCAGCAAAGCGGACGAGAAAACTTCACAGTACCTTTGGCTTTGGTTTCTGGGTTGCTGTTCCATTGGTGGCGACTCCCGCTCCAGCTGCGGCCTCCTCTGCGGCCTGGGCCGTTTCTGCGGCTTCCGTTGCATTCCCCTTGCCAGACCCGCCTTCAGCAGCAGCAGCAGCGCCTGCAGCAGCGGCAGCCCCTGCAGCAGCCCCTCCCACCGCCGCTGCAACCTTGTCTGCAGCCCCTTTAGCAGCCTCGCCGACGGCTTCACTCGCGCTGTCAACAGCTCCCTTCGCGGCGTCAGCCGCCCCCTTCGCAGCATCTCCCACCGCCGTGCCCTCTGCGGCCTTTGCCGCGGCGTCGATTGCTCCCTTGGCGGCTTCTCCCGCGGCTGCACTCGCTGAATCGGCGGCTCCCTTCGCGGCTTCGGCTGCGGCTGCTGCGGCTCCACTGGCGCCAGCTTCCTCCTTGGCGCCCTCGGCAGCGTCTGCGGCACCCTCAGCGGCTTCGCCCGCGGCCTCACTTGCGGAATCAGCGGCTTCTTTTGCAGCTTCGCCAGCAGCTGCAGCAGCAGCGGCACCAGCGTCGGCGGCCCCTCAGCAGCTTCGCCCGCGGCCTCACTTGCAGAATCAGCTGCTCCTTCTGCTCCAGCTTCTGCGGCGTCTTTAGCAGCGTCTGCGGCTCCCTCCGCAGCCTCCTTCGCTGTATCGGCGGCTTCACTCGCAGCTTCGCCTGCAGCAGCAGCGGCCCCTTCTGCAGCCTCCTGTGCTTCCTCGCCTTCTCTCCGCACCTTGGCTTCTATCTGTATGTACAGAATATAACTTCATCAGATCGTTGAAACACAAGGTTTTGATAACATACTAGTTATCTAAAAGATGCATTGGGGACCGCATCCTTGTAATGCCACCATGCGGCAAAGAGTCGTACAACATCCCATTCAAGCCAGGAGGCCGGTACACGTGCAAGTTGAGTTGAGGAGTCGAGTAGTCTATATAAGGCCACACCGATTTAATTTTATGGATGACATCCTCTGAAGACCCCCAAACTAGTGCGCGCGGGCGAATAAAAAAAATTCCGGCCAAAAATAAAAATGCTACTAGTTATAAACCTCAAGAATACAAAGCTGGTATTGTGAAATTGCGGCAGTACATAGCGACGTATACGACAAGACGGCAAATGCTGGCCTTTTTTTTAGGAATTTATGAATCGGTACTGTACATATGCACTGAGTTCTTTAGTCGCGGAGCTTCGAATTCGATAGCCTGGGTGCTATCCAGGCCTAGAGCCAGGCCAGAGCCTCGGTGGACGTGATGTTTTCTCTTTGTTTTTGTTTTTTTAGGGCGGCAGGCGAAAATCAATGCGCGCGCGGATGTCATCCATAAAATCAAGTCGGTGTGGCCTAATTATATACTTCGATACTTTTGGTGAGGGCCCGATAAAAACGCCTAATACGCGCCAAAAGTAAGCCGAAGCCTAAACCTCTGCTTGGAGAGTGCAAAATGCCCCACATCAACATAAATGAAGACTCACCGCCGGTTCCAGTTCCACTTCCTCCAGACGGTACAGGTTCTCCCTGGCGGTTTCCAGACCCTCAACTCCAGTCAGTCTGCGGATCATGTCGTCCAACTCCAGGATGCTCCTCTCCCACTTCTGGAGGTTTTCAGTTCCCGCTGTTCAAGAGAACGCAATATGTCATCTCATCTTATCTCATCTCACCTAGCCCTTAGTCTAATCATATATGTTTACCATCGCATAAGCAACTTCTTCTTGTCTGAATAAAGTCACTGACATGTCATGGGCCAACTGGTGCTGTAGCTGACATCCAGGTCTGTGGTGTTGGGTTACATTTTGTAGCAGAATAGAGTTCATCATCATAGAATAGAGTTGGATGGGTTGGTCTCAAAATGATTTTTTGATCAAGCATAAACACAACAGTAGTTTGTTGTGACTGTATATAATGCGTTCTAAAGCATCCGATTCTGATAATTCCATCTTTTATTGTACCATTTTGATGAAACTACAATTCGCTAGTGTAAGGGTGCCAAGGTAGAACTGGATCTTCTTAAAAATCCTTAAGGTTGCAATACTTGCCTGGTACGTCAGGGGCCGCTGCACGACCTTGCTTTATGGCCTCTAGATACTTTCCCGCCTGTGATAGGAAAAATATACGTAGATTACTTAAACTATTTCAGAAGTTAAAAAGTCTGTTTTACATATATGGATCGTTAAAAACTGGAAGAAAACCGTTTTAATAGCTTTGACTTTGTGAAACTAGGTTTGTACGGCACCCAGTGCTGACGTAGTGTTGACCATTGAATCAGCACTGGACACCAGTGTTGAAGGTGTGGCTTTCGTAGACTTGTGATGAATGCAATTGTTAACACTAAAGAGTTACTTTGTTGAAAATGACGCAATAATTTTACCAGGTCGCCGACTTCTCTCATCTTAAACTGCCACATTTTCTCGGCGGCCTCCTGGAGAGGCGCGACGCCTTCAGCCTTCTTGATGATGCTGTCCATGGTCCTGATGATGTGTTCCTCACGTTTGATCTGCTCATCCTCTGTATACAGTACGGATAAAATGCCAATTTCATTAACAAAGTCCCTGACAAACAAACTGAGAAACAACAGCTGCAGTTCCTGTAAAAGCAACTAGAGGGCCCAAATTCCACCCAGCTAACTCTATTAGACGACAAATAAAGTAACACTAAATAAGGTAAGGACTAGTTTCTGCCAGGTTCTAAAGGTAAATCGTAGATGATTGGCAAAATATAACAATTTGACAAAGGAGTTAGTGGACATTTTCTTTGACGTCTAGTAATTGGTTTCTAATGGATGCACAATTCATCTACAGCATCAGCAAGCAAGTTGTAGAAAAATAAATAAATATGTTTGTTTTTCAAAAGCCAACAACAAAATGTTTTTAGTTTGCTTACTATGAAGGTGATAAACTAGATTCGACCCATACTACGTGTTGCCCCAAGGACAGGTGATACATTAAGGGACATCAGGTGAAAAGTAGGGCAACGATCTAAAACTTTGTTATATAAAAAGTGGACAGTGAATAAACTACTACAATAAACTACCCTATTTGGTAAACTAACCCTGATTTCCACACTGATGAAAACACCAATCATAATGTTGTCAGCGGAGTGGGTCCCAGAGTTAAATCGAACCCAGATGGGACTAAGTTCCTACAAACGTGTCGTGTTCTGATTGGTCTAAATATTGTGGCCCCACAGACCCATGATAAAGATTCCACAAAGACACTTAAAGAACAATAAAGGCTTCATCCCCTACCTACATGGAGCCTAGAGCTATACATACTGAAATCTCCTATATACAATCCAAAATAGTCACTACACTGATTCTAAAAATCTCCCCTGATTCTAAAATCTCCTCTATACATTCTAAACATTCTCCTCTATGCATTCTAAAATTATCCTCTATACATTCTAAAAATCTCCACCGCGATCGTTGCCTGTAGAAAAATGTTAAATATATATCTGCTTACAAGAAAAATCCCAACAATTATAAACAATCAAGACACCATGTAAGATGGTGACAACTTTAGGACCTCTCACTTTCACACCCCCACTCTCACTCCCATATTTACACTTTACCGGGTGATGTTAAACATAGATATTAAACACATGAAGGGTTTTGTGTTGAAAAAGTTGTCTGCTAAAAGTCAAAATAGGCGTGTCATTTTCAACATGTAATCTATGGTGAAGTTTAGTCAAGCAAATATCCCACCAATACGGGGAGGCGTAAGCTTTATATGACATCTTTCTGTTGTTTATTGAGAAACAAACTATCTGATAAGACCCTAAGTATGTATGATATTTAAGGTGTGTTAAGTTGTTACGCTTAGCTATTGTAGTACGTAAAGGAGTGCCTTTTTAATAGGTTATTTGCTTGGTCATGTGGAACGGCCGCCATTACTCCGCGACCCAAACTTAAACTTACAATGTGATCTGTAATAGGGATCAAAACCCTTCAGACATTTACAAAAACTGTACATGATACAACAACAAATGTAGAACGCAGGCGACCGATAGGCACCTTTTAAGTGTAATCTTATGTAAGAATTACGTACGTTTAATTGTTAACTGAGGCAAGTAACCTTGAGTCGGATAATTGCAAGTCGGGGAGGGGGGCAAAAGTGAAGTCACTAACTTTCCAACAATGGAAGCTGATTTTAAAGAACAACCGCGATTGTTTTAACTGCTAATCGGTAGATTCATGATCACACGACCCCCCTTTACACTGTGTTCTGTTTCTTCGAATTTGCCTTCTTCGAATTCAAGCCGTTTCATGTGTATTATGATGATGCGTAAGAGATAAAGTTGGTGTTTTACAAACTTGCCGAATGACGTACCGTCTGGCTCATTTTCACCGAGGAAACTCGGCAGTGATATACCTAGAGAGAGAAAAGGAGTTCATCATAAGTTAGTCCTCAAGGACAATATATTTAAGACGCAATGTGATATATATAATTCAAAGCTCCATTTTCAATTGTCAAATGAAAATCCATGACTAATGTAGTAGAACAGTTTCTATTTAAATCAAACAACGTTACGTCTTCACATGACGAGTAATAAGGTTATGAATATCATATATCATTAGCTAACATAAACCCGCAAATATGATTAATTGGCCTGTATGTGTACTATATCAGTAAATACCTATAAAATGACCGTATGACCTTAAGAAACAAATTACGCCCATAACATACCCCGAACATCGACTAAAATGTTACTAAACTTCAAACTAACGACACATAGACACGTTTCTGCACAAAAGTACAACTATTTGCATTAAACAGTAATGAAAAGTGTCGTTTGCCTCACAGATGGCGAAGTAAGGTGTCATGATCATTCTGAAATCAGATCACGTACAGGTACACTCAGTGGAGGCTAAATCAGATTAGTGCATCAGACAATCTGTTCTCACCTTGATGTCCGTGAAAACACAGAGAAAGGACGACCAAGACAGTCACAAGTGTCCGCGACATCTTGGCAAGCTTAAGAACTTCCCTGACGTCCCTTTTAAGAAACGAAGGAAGCTTAAGACAGTACCGACCCAAGACACCTTAGAGGTCCCTATATCCCTCACAGACGGAGTTAAGTGAGAGTGTACAGTGGGTGTATAGACTGTACTAACCGGTTGGACGGCACATCTTTTTGGGTTACCATCTACGGTAAACCAGACATATATCTGTGTCGATGAAGGTTAGACACCCAGATAGAACATTGTGTAAAACAGAATACTAGTAAACCAAGAAACTGTATAACTAGAAATTCTCTTAGAAGTCTGACATTTCAGGCAGCATCTGCTAGCTTTCATTCACAAGTGATAAATAAGATACTTTCTAAAACGTATTTAATGTATAAAATATATCCAGTTGCTTCATTTATTTTGTATTGTACTGTATACTAGTACATTTATGCTGTTCACATACAGGCATATAGCTGTAGATGACAATGAATTTATGTATCTGGAGTGATTTATTTGTTCCTGACGATTTAATAAACACTGAGAGTGAAATTGTCTATTGTTTGTGCCATTGTTAAGTAGGGATGTCGCCTCAGGATTGCCGTAGTTCTGGCCGTTCTCTTATATACAGTAGTGTCCCCCAGGGAGGCACAGTTAGGTGTGTGCTTTCGCCTTAGTCCCAGAATGTGGGTTTAGCCTTGAGGCATTCCCTGTGTTCAACATGTTATGCTCTGGTAGAACAACTCAAAGACATATAATCCAGGGGACTAATGTAACGTGAGAAAGGGATCAACAAAGGACATGATTGATTGAAGTCAAAGGGATAAATGTGTGAGAAACATTCGACAGTCGAATGGTACAGCAATAAAACACCTGTTTCTGAAATTCTAACCATCCATGGCCATCTTTATACTTTTATCTACGCTGAGGATAACAATGCCTCTGTTATGAGTCCTATGTGTTACGATTAAAGAACATACAATCCAAATTTATGAATGTTAATTTTAATGTTCCACCATACAATATTCTATATTGAAAATAACAAATCATTGCACGCTCCCGACCATGGATTCTGTATATATACTGGTGCAACATTTGTTCCGACATGAGATATATACACCATACGGCATATACACGGCGCAGCGGTGTCACATATATAAGAAGGTGTGATAAGTATTACATTCAAAGCTGTTTGCGAATTTAGGTTCCTCAAAAGTATCAATGCTCTAATCTCCAAGAAGATGTAGGGACCGGCTCAGTGTTTTACACGTATGCTTTAGGCCTTTTTTTACCTCGTTTTGTCCCCGGGAAGGGACATGAAATGTATCAAAAACATACGAGAAACACTGAGCTGGACCTGCATCTGCTAGAATATTATAAATATCCAGGTCTACTCAAAGATCTACCAGTACTCAAAACTACGTATTAAAGCTAGGGATGCCGGGTTCTTCGCGTCTTCTCTCAACCTGTTGCCTAGGCGCACCAGAAGAACCTAAGTGCGGTACGGAGAAAAAAAGAAGTTTGTTACGAATAGAAGATAGTTTTACTTTTACAGGAAATGGAAGGAAAAGTCACAAAGACGATCATGTGCAAGAAAAGAATGTCGAGGTTCTTACGAGCAGGCTTGCGGCTCACAGCAAACCTTCTCACCCCACTGCCAGCAGAATTTCGGGCAATTCTAGTCAACAGAAGAATGATCAAATATCATCGACATGCAAACTCCACATCATCGTAAAGACAGCGATTTGGATACTACTATACACCGTGCAACAAATGCTCCAAAAATATTGTATACATGTACAATGAATAAAACAATTGGATACATTTTCTAAAAGGTTAAGAGTCGGACGTTTTAGACAGCATCCGTCATTGAACTTTGAATGATTGTGTCACAGTTCACTGGTAAAGGTAAAGGTTACAGAGCTCAAAAGTCGTCTGCCTCTGTTTCTTACAGATCGTACGTTCATCCAGGTTTATTTTTCTATTATATGGCTGGCTTTACCAACAACAAAAAAAAACAAGCATTTATTGGTTATAGTATAAAGGTTGTGTGCTTTCAAATTGACACGTCATTCAGAACATTATAAGCAAAAGTGAAGAGCGTACCTTTGGCTTCGGTTTAGGGGTTGATGCATTGGTGGCGACTCCAGCTCCAGCTGCGGCCTCCTCTGCGGCCTGGGCCGTTTCTGCGGCTTCCGTTGCATCGTCACCCCCAGTGGCTTCCCCCGTGGCCTCACTTCCTGAATCTGCGGCTCCGTTTGCAGCTGCGGCTCCGCTGGCGCCAGCTGCAGCTTCCTCCGCGGCGCCTTCGGCAGCGTCGGTGGCACCCTCAGCAGCTTCTCCCGTGGCCTCACTTGTAGAATCAGCGGCGGCTTCTTGTGCCGCTTCGGCAGCAACTGCAGCGGCGGCTTCTTGTGCCGCTTCGGCAGCGGCTTCAGCTCCAGCGGCAGCATCGGCGGCGGCTTCCTCAGCGGCTTCTCCCGTGGCCTCACTTGCGGAATTAGCGGCTTCTTGTGCCGCTTCGGCAGCAGCTGCAGCGGCAGCGACAGCATCGGCGGCTTCCTCAGCGGCTTCTCCCGTGGCGTCACCCAGAGAATCAGCGGCTTCTTGTGCCGCTTCTGCAGCAGCTTCAGCTGCAGTGGCAGCATCGGCGGCGGCTTCCTCAGTGGCTTCTCCCGTCGCGTCACCCAGAGAATCAGCGACTTCTTGTGCCGCTTCGGCAGCAGCTTCAGCTGCAGCGGCAGCATCGGCAGCGGCGCGGCTTCCTCAGCGGCTTCTCCAGTGGCCTCACTTGCAGAATCAGCGGCAGCTTCTTGTGCCGCTTCGGCAGCAACTACAGCGGCGGTTTCTTGTGCCGCTTCGGCGGCGGCTGCAGCTTCAGCGGCAGCATCGGCGGCGGCTTCCTCAGCGGCTTCTCCCGTGGCCTCACTTGCAGAATCAGCGGCGGCTTCTTGTGCCGCATCGGCAGCAACTGCAGCGGCGGCGGCAGCGGCGGCTCCCTCACTTGCCGAATCAGTGCCTTCCTTGGCAGCTTCATCTGCTCCTTCTGCTGCAGAAGATGCAGCGTTTGTAGCTCCATCTGCAGCTTCGCCTGCAGCAGCAGCGGCCCCTTCTGCAGTCTCTTGTGCCTCCTCGCCTTCTCTCAGCGCCTGCTCGGCTTTTATCTGTATGCACATAAAATAACTCCATCAGACATTGAAACATACGGTTCTGATAACATACTAGTAATCTGAAAGATGCACTGGGACCCCGCCAAAAGCGTTGAAACCTAAACCTCTCCTTGGAGAGTATTAAGTGCCCGACATCGACAATCACACAAATGAAGACTCACCGCCGGTTCCAGTTCCACTTCCTCCAGACGGTACAGGTTCTCCCTGGCGGTTTCCAGACCCTCCACACCCGTCAGTCTGCGAATCATGTTGTCCAGTTCCAGGATGCTCCTCTCCCACTTCTGGAAGTTTTCATTCCCAGCTGTTCAAGAGAACACAATATGTCATGTCATTTAATCTCATCTCATCTCATGCACCTAGCCCTTAGTCTAATTATATATATTAACCATCACAGAAGCAGAGCATTGTTTTTGCACAACTCCTCCTTCTCCGACTAAAGTCAACGACATGGGCCAGACGTCTGTCACCATGGTAACTGGTGCTGTAGCCACCTAGGCATGTGGAGTTGGGTTACATTTTGTAGCAGAATAGAGTATGAGGGGCTGGTCTGAATATAATGTGTTTGGGCAAGAATAAACACAACAGTAGTTTGTTGTGACTGTATATAATGCGTTTAATCTTTCGGTGTAGCATTTTGATGAAACTACAATTCACTAGAACGAGATCTTCTTACTTAAAAAAAAATCATTGAGGTTGCAGTACTTGCCTGGTAGGTCAGGGGCCGCTGCACGACCTTGCTTTATGGCTTCTAAATACTTTCCTGCCTGTGATGGGAAAATATACGTAGGTTACCTGAACTATTTCAGAAGTTAAACAGTCTGGTTTACATATGGATCGTTAGAATTTCTAAGAAAAACGTTCAGCTTTGCCTTTGTGAAACTAGATTTGTACGGCACCCAGTGCTGACGTAGTGTTGACCATTGACTCTGCACTGGAATACCAGTGTGGAAGGTGTGGCTTTCGTAGACTTGTGATGAAGGCAATTGTTGACACTTAAGAGTTATGTTGTTGTAAATGATGCAGAAATAATTTTACCAGGTCGCCGACTTCTCTCATCTTAAACTGCCACATTTTCTCGGCGGCCTCCTGGAGAGGCGCGACGCCTTCAGCCTTCTTGATGATGCTGTCCATGGTCCTGATGACGTGTTCCTCACGTTTGATCTGCTCATCCTCTGTATGGAGAATTATATACAGTGTCAATTGTACAAACAAAGTCACGAAAGATGGTCTCACTTTCACACTCCCACTTTTACTCCCATATTTTAACTTTACCGGGTGGATGTTAACCATAGATGTTAAACACATGAAGGGATTTTGGGGTCCATTGTCTGTTGAAAACGCTGTCTGGCACTGTCTGCTAAAAGTCAAAATAGGCGTGTCATTTCAACACGTAATCTATAGTAACTTGGTCAAGCGAAGATCCTGCCAATACGGGGAAGCCTAAGCTTAATATCCTGTGACTTTCTGTGGTTTATTGTGAAAAACTTATCCGATAAGACCCTAAGTATATAGGTGTTAATGTGTTACACTTAGCTATTGTAGTGCGCAAAGGAGTGCCGTTTCTATAGGTTATTTGTTTGGTCATGTGGAACGGCCGCCATTACTCCGTGACCCAAACTTAAACTTACAATGTTATCAATGTTATGTATATAAATGGTTTAGTTTATATAATATTTCAATACCAATGTCACAAATGTTGCAGCCACAACGGCTGAACTTTCGTCAGGACATTTACAATTCGGATAGAGACATGATTGAAACATATATACATTAACATACGGAGTAAAAAAAATTCTATACAACATTGTATTTATCAGACTGTCAGAGTGTCAGTTAAGAGACAGAGACAAGTTAAAAACCATTGTCAGCGCAACTATATGAAATTGTGAAGTATCAAAACCCTTCAATCATTTACAAAAACACTGGATGATGTAGAACAACAAATGTAGAACACAAACGGACGATAGGCTCCTTTTTAAGTGAAGGTGTTAACTGAGGCAAATAACCTTGAGTCATTCTCCCTCAGCAGAGCTATATCCCGCGGCAAATACGTTACGTAAGGCAGGGCCTTACGTAACGTAAGGCCACTTTAAGTGCAATTAAAATGGGGCAATTAAGTGCAATTAAAGTAAGGCCACAGGAGACCACCAAACTAGTGCGATCGGGTGAATAAAAAAATTCCGACCACAGGAATACAAAGCTGGTATTGTGAATTTGCGGCAGTACAAGCCGGCATATACTGCCTTTTTCCGGACTTTATGAATCGGCACTGTATGTATGTACTGAGTTATTGAGTCGTGGAACCTTCGGTAGCCTGGGCGCCATCCTTCAGAGTTGCCACCGGCTCCGTATTGTTGCCAACTACCATGGACTGACTACCCAGGCCTAGAGCCTCGGAGGACGTGATCTTTTTTTTTGAGAACAGGCGAAAATCAACGCGCAAGCGGATGCCATCAATAAAATTAAGATGGTGTGGTAGTTTAACTGTTGACTGAGGCAATTGCAAGTATCCTTGAGCCATTCTCCCAAGACAGAGCTATCCTGTGGCAAATATGTTACGTAAGGCCCTGCCGATAGGCCCTTAAGTGCAATCTTGATTAAAGGTAGTTATATAACCGAGGCAAGTGAGTCATTCTCACACGGCAGAGCTATCCTGCGGCAAATACGTTACGTAAGGCCCTGCCTGGGAAGCCTCGAGTCGGATAAGTCGGGGAGGGGGGCAAATGTGAAGTCAGTAACTTTCCAACAATGGAAGCTAATTTTTAAAACCCGCGACTGTTTTATAACCAATGGTTTCTAGATTCATGATCACACGATCCCCTTTACACTGTGTTCTGTTGCTTCGAATTTGTTGTCGTGTTTCATGCCAGGAGTTTCCTGTGTATTCATGTACGAGTACAGAAGGGATAAAGTTGGTGTTTGACAAACTTGCCGAATGACTTACCGTCTGGCACATTTTCGCCGCGGAACCTCGACAGAGATATGCCTAGAAAGAGAAAATGATATCATCGATACGTTATTCCTCAAAGACAATGCATTTAACATGCTATAGATATCATGGGTAGCAGTCAACAAAAGTGTCATGAAAAGTTTAATTTTCAATTGTCAAATGAAAAAAGGACTAACGAAGTAAAACATATATTCCGTTTAAAACAACGTTACGTCTTCATATGACGAGTTATAACCTTATGAATATCGTATATCATTAGCCAACATGAATTCGTAGGTATGATTAATTGGCATATATATTCAGTAAATATCTAGTCTCTACCAGACTAACTACGCTGGCTATATTTAGAAGAATAATTGCCAGGGGAGTTTGGCCGCCTTGTAGGTTTGACCGCGCGGAGGGAAAGAAACTATCTCCCCGTGGCCGGACTCCCTTGGCCAATTTTACTCTCTCTTTTGCCGAATTGTACGATCCGTATTCCCATAGAAAGGCCTGGTGGAGGCTACTAAATACCAGTCCTATAAAATCAGCTTTAAATTTATGATCGTAAGAAACACACTAAGTCCATGACGGCCCCAAACATCGACTAACACTTATAAACTTCAAACATCGACACTAATAAACTTCAAACTAACCGGTGACACTTCCGTGTACAAATATTCGTGTGTTCGCTATCAATATTTTACACAGTGACGAAAAGTGCCATTTGCCTCACAGACGGCGAAGTAAGGTGTCGTGCTTAAAACAGATCACGTACACCCAGTGAAAGCCAAATCAGATTAGTGCATCAGACAATCTGTTCTCACCTTCATGTCCGTGAAAACACAGAGAAAGGACGACCAAGACAGTCACAAGTGTCCGCGACATCTTGACAAGCTTAAGAACTTCCCTGACGTCCCTTCCAAGAAACGAAGGAAGACGCTACCGACCCAAGACAACCTAACGGGTCCCTATAGCCCCAACTGACGGAGATATGTGAGAGTGTGCCACTGGGCGTAGAGACTGCACCAACCGGTTGGACGGCACATCTTTTTGGGTTATCATCCACGGTAACTTACTGCCATATACGATAAAGGTTACACGTTTAGATAGAACATCGCGTAATACATAAAATAATAATAAATCAAGAGACTAGATAAGTTATTTGAGGAGTCGGTCGTTTCAGATACCATTTAAGCTAGCTTTTATCAGTGATATGTTAAATGCTATCTGAAACATCAGACTCATAAGATGATTGATCCAGTTGCTTGATTTTATTTTGTATTGAATGTATTGTATTGTATTGTATACATGTAACTTACTGCTGTTCATATACATGTACATATATATAGCTGTAGTACATGTACAGGTATATAACTGCAAGAATTTTTTATATGTATCATAACACGTAGGTGTAGACTTTTGTCCAAGTCCCAGAATACGGGTTTAGCCTTGAGGCATGAATAACCTGGGTTCAACATGTTATGCTCTGTTGGAACAACTCAAAAGACATTTATAATCAAGGGGACTAATGTTCGTGAGAAAGGGATAAATGAAGGGCGTGATTGACTGAAGTCAAAGGGATAAATGTGTGATGTATGTGAGAAACATTCGACAGTAACTAGTGCAACAAGATAATTTAATTATAAAATTTTTCAACAACACATCACATAGTAACTTGCAACATTGTATGTCAGGACATTCATCAGGATATGTTGGTATTACGTGTATCATGCCAAGAAGATAACCTCACACATACAGCGAGTCACTGAGGCACAAAGTATTATCGAAAATTTGCTAAGCATTCTGAAATAAATATACACCTTATTTTTACTTAAACTATTGATATCTCTCTTCTGAGATGGGAATATAACATATCGAAAAACTGTTGACATGAGACATTTGTGAAGATAAGTCATCCAGGGTAGTATCAGTAAGATAGTATTTTAGACTTTTGAAACTGGATAAAAGTTTAATAACCAAACGTTTCAGGTGTTGTTCCAACACCCTTCATCAGTGAAAATGGATATGAGAATACAAGTTCAAGAATTTCATGACTGTGAGTCATCAATGCATGCTCTGTGAAAACAGCTTGAGGTCAGGATTGGAAACATCTCATTGAGAATGGTGTTATGTATGGTGAAATTAGGTTATTAGGGCCGTCTTTCTGTTGTCAAAGTCATCTGAGTCCTGAAGTGAAGGGGAGACCCACTGAGGCTTCTGGTCCCACTCCTGACACCTGGGGGAACATGGAAGTGAAGAAAACCATTTAACATTTGTTTGGAAGAAAATGGAAAACAAAAGGGGTCTGTGGTACTGGCTAAAGTTATGTTCTTTTTAAATTCTACATCAATTAGACTCAGAATAAAGGCAAAGCTTCTATTTATCAGAAAAGAAGCAGCTTAATAGTAACAACATGTCCTCTTTATATTACAAGAGAGGGAATCATGGCAGCATTTGCTATGTATTTTTCCACTCTCCTTCCATTTTACCTGTTGTTAATTGTGAACAAGCAGTGTTAATTGTCATTGTCATTATTTTCACACACATTTCACATAATTCTCTCTTTTAATTTTGTAGTCAGTATGTTAATATATTTATATATTTTTTGAACCCTGGAAGATTAGTCATGGACTAAAGGGTATCAAAATAAACGAATAAACGAATTATTTTCACAGTCCATCATCCCTAAACAAGTGCTTATGGGAGTACATCCCTTACACATAAGATCTAATACTCAGTATGTAGGTGTTCTGTAATCATGTAATATAAGAAAAATGAAATGGAGAGAAGTACTTACACATTTATGACTATGATAAAGAAGCCCATGGTGGCCATGAGGAGGAAACACGTTCCGTGGAAGAACGTCAGTGTGACGGCGTACAGAGAGTTAAAGATGAGGCTGGAGAACAGAGCAGAGCCGCACTCCAACACTCCCATCAGGGAGAACGTCGCACCTGAAACAAAGAGGGATAATGGAAACAAATTATTAAAACAGGTAAGTTTAAACAGGTAAAAGTGTTATGCTTTATACAGTGGCTGATAGTGCAATGCAGCTGTGCCAAATACTACTATGGCTATTGTTTCTAGCCAAGCACACTGGGTCATGAGTGTATTGGATTCATTTAAAAATGGATATGGTCTGGTACAATTATGCCATGCCATGATTAGATACAGTGAGAGTTTGAAGAAAGGAAATGTTTACCTTGTTCATTGCTATCAACCAGCTTGGATATCATCCCGTGGAGAGCGCCTAAAGTCAGGTACTGGAACGCACCTGCCACAGCGGCTGGGACAATGACAAAAATTATGGGTTTATATTTCATAAAGCCTTACAGAGACTTGAAACAAGTTAACAGTGAATAAGAGTGAATGTTAATAATCCTTGCCATATTGTACGAAGTATAGGGTTCATTAAGAAGGTAGTATGAAAGGTTACTGAAACATTGACATTAAATACCTCTGGTTCTAAAGCTAAAAAGCTGTATACAAGCCCTTACCACAGAACATCAGCCACGTGGTGCTGGAAAACGCCATGACTTCGAACTTGGCCACAAACGAGACGGCCCCGATGATGACGAGGGCGGTGTCTGGGAGACGCTTCGCGAGGAACGGCATGACAACGAGCAGCGTGACAGAAGGGATGACGTTCTGCGCCGCCTGCCAGTACCCGTACAGACTCTCCGACCACTTCAGCGGCTCTGCCTTCACGAACAGGAGACCGACTTCTGCAACACCTGATATAGACAAAAACAAACAACATCAAGACGAGAAAATGTCTTGACTATACAAGAACATCATTAGTTGCTCAAGAGGATAGTATTCTCATTAAATTCTTTTTTCACCCTCAACTAAAGTGAAGCATGTTTTTTTCAAATAGCTACACGTACTACTGCAATGTGGTTTTGCAATGGCTTACATTGAACATCTAGGATAGTGCTTGGTGACTATGCCTGGGTGCTGTTTTTTCTTTGGTCCTTTTAATTTCCAAAAATGTTTCCTTACCAGCTTGGATGAGTGCGGAGAGGAAAAGGCACAGGTAGGTCAGGTTCACGTGCAGTCTGCGGTTATTGGGCCTCTTCTTCGTGCATATCTGAACCACCTTCTTGATATTACTCAGACTGAAGAACTGCAGACATGCGCCCTTTTGCTCTGTCGGGTCAACATTTAACAGAGAGGTCGTCCTCTGTCTGACTGGGGTGGGGTTCTTCAGCCAAAAGATGATGTAGAGAATCGCTACAAGCTGCAGCACCGAGCACGTGATAAAGACTGGGACGTAACCGACGTTATCGGCCATGACGCCGCCCAGCAGCAAGCCGACAGTACAACCTAGCGTGTTCACAGCGTCGACTATCCCCATTCTCTTGGTCCGTACCTCTTCGGACGTGACGTCAGCGAGATAGCTGAAGACGGACAGCAAGATTGTCGCAAAGCCGCCGCAGAAGCCGCTTATAAAGGGTCCAATGAGAAGCAGATACCAGGGAAGTTGGATCCACCAAGACTGGAAGATGAGGTTAACACTCATGAGGCAGCCTCCCAGCATGGGTAGGATCATCGCAACTTTCCGGCCGACCCGATCGCTCCACGGGCCAACGAAAACGGTGATGATGATCGAAGGAAGGGTGAGAGAGATCATGTTGGCGAGGATCCAGATCGAAGCCTGGCTCTGGACGGCGTTCTGTATTTCTACGTCGTCGCTTTTCTCGAGCCCGCCGCAGAAGGTCTGGTTAAACATGCTGAGACAGGACTTAACCCAGACCACCTGCTGCAGTACCGGCGTCTGCAGGTTGAGGGCCATCATGTACAGGCCGATGACGGGCTCCACCGTGATGATGTCACGCAGTGAAAGTTCCATGTTGACCTCACAGTCACAATTACTATTCGAAAAAAAGGGGGAAGATCAATAATTGCATTTAGGCCACAAAAAGTAGAGAAGAGGAGCCCCAGGTTGCTCCGGCATTTAGGCAGGAAGGCAGGCAAGCAAGTAAATTTATAGATGACATCCTCCGCATCCAAATCTAATGCGATAGGGCGAAAAAAAAAAAACATGGCGGGCAAAAAAGCAAGATTCCTACATTTTGAAATTTTGACATCATAAACCTTGTAAACAAGAAATGATAACGTTAACTGTAACCTATATTATGCTAAGATTGCAATGTTCATTGATTATCTCAACGTCCACCTACCAGTATTGAGCCTTCAATGTCGTCTAATTAGCTGCTCCGGACTGTCACTGTAACCAAAGACCTCCTTGCGCCTTTGTAACTGATCATGAGAGTATGAGGAATCTCTCGAGATGGAAGGATGCTAACTAGGCTTTAACGTCTCAGACCAGCTGCAGAGCGTATCTCATAGTGTCAGGTATTCCCGTGTAGAGACTGTGAAAGACTTGCGTAAAGGTCCCTGGACTTTATACCAAAGTCTGACCACAAAAACCACATAGCATATATTATAAATTATAGATCACTGCATCACCCCACCTCCAGCTGATGGACTTTGGACCAGCTCACGGGTGGTCACGTGTTGTTTTGGGGGTCAATCAGTAGTAGTCTGTAGGGATGGCGAGATAGAAAGATATCTTCTTCTTTCATCAGTGCATAGATTAAGCGATGAAAAAGGTACTTAGATCATTTTGTGCTTTTTGGTTTGATGAAATGCAACAGAAAGCGTTGAAATGTGGTGTTTACACCCCCCCGAGGCTCAAGGTGCTATTATAGTGTTGTCCCTACGTTTTGAACTCTAACCTCTGCCCCCAACATGGAGGACTCAGGCATGTCGTCGGCGGAGGAGATTAAGCGTAGAGTCGCCCAATATCTCCGCGGAGAGGTGTCCTTTCAGGAGTTCGACGCGTTCAGACAAGAGAGGGGGATCCAGTCGTTCGCGCAAATAGCCCCACAGCCGGGCACAAGCACAGGGGGGCTGACAGGAGGCGGTCGAACCGCGGCGGTGGGGGAGGGGGGCGGTGCCGCCGGACCTTCCTACAGCGACGATTCAGACGACGACGATTACTTCGACAACGACAACTTCGATCCAACCAAGAGAGGAGACGACAGTGAAGAAGACGACGATGGGAACGATGAAGAAATGGAGGGCGTGGAAGAAGAAGGGAGTTCTACAACTCCTGCGGACACCTCACTCACAGCCAAATACCTAGAAGGGAAACTCTCCTTCTCCGAGTTCGCAGAACTGATGGAGAAAGAAGAAGATGACGGGAAAGAGACGGCTGTGCCCGCGGTCTCCGCACAACCCAGTAAGAAAGGCGTGGACATCTCTGAAGCCTTCAGCGTGGAGCTGGCTCTGGAACAGGAGGAGAGGAAAGGGAGAAAACGGCCCAAGAGGAGGAGAATTAACGAGGTGAACTACCAAGTTCAACTTCACCTGTGTTATTCAGACTAAAATTAGACATTTGTTTCTGTGCTCATAAGAGGCTGGTTTACTATATATGATGTACTTATCTATCTTTAATTTTATTTGTCAAAATCAATTGCAAACCTACTTGCAAAATTTTGCATTTATACTAGTACCTTTTATCGCAGTAAGGTTCAGAGTAAGACATGTCAGACTTATGCCTTCTGGCAGAATTTACAGAAACTGAACTGAAGCAGAATGCACATCAATCACTTTTGGAAGTGATGAAAGGGAAATATGTCTTGCATTTGCTTGCAAATGTCAGTCCTTCAATGCAAGATTGTTCCAGGTGCCCAAGCCGCTGCGTGGGCTGATGGGAGAGGCCAACCTCAGGTTTGCACGAGGGAAGTATGATGATGCTATCAAGATGTGTATGGAGGTTATCAGACAGGTCAGTGTGTGTGTATAACACAGTTACTAGACTTAATATACAAAACTTTACTTGTTCTTTATTCACTCATCAGTAAGGCACACCACAGGCTAGGCTTTTAAGTCTTTTAAATCTTTAAAGTCTCATTTTATTTTTTTTAAAGATAATTTCCATCCGTTCGTAATGTCCGTTGACAATCGAGGCACAACCACTAGGCCAGAAGGAGATGGTATGGAACCCATTGGGCTGGTCTGTTGATGTTTATACCTCGTTTTTACACAAGTGTTGTTTACTTTACTTGACTGTCCCCAGGCTCCCCACTGCTACGAGCCGTTCCAGACGGCAGCCATGGTGTATGAGGAGAAAGGGGACATGGAGAGGTCGCTGCAGTTTGCTCTGATCGCCGCACACCTTAACCCTCAAGACCCCGAGGAGTGGGTCAAGCTAGCCGAGGTGTCACTCGAACAGAACAACATCAGCCAGGCCATTACATGTTACAAGAAAGGTAAAGAGTAAAAGTGACATTGATCCACTTTCAGTTCAAAGAAGAGATAATGTCCTACTGGTCGTAACAGAGAAGACATATGCTATGTACGTACAGTATTTACCTATTCATTGTATCCCTCGCTCTTTTTTACAAGCACAATGAACAGTTGACCACAGCTAGCTTAATATCCTGTCCTAGGGACTGTGACTATCCATGCTACTACTGCTAGTGTGGATGGCATTCAGCACCAAGGACAGGTATGTTTGCTAGTATGCACGTGTGGATGGCATTCAGCACCAAGGACAGGTGTGTTTGCTAGTGTACATGTGTGGATGGCATTCAGCACCATGTAGGCACATGATTGTACTCAAATAGCAATGTCTACCTCCATTATACTGTTTTAGTTGTTGATGATGAGTACATTTCCCCCCATTTCTCTCCATATAGCCCTGAGATATGACCCCAACAACATTGGTATCCTTTGGGAGCAGGCCAACTTGTATGAACAGACGCAGGAACCCAGGAAGGCTCTGGAGGGGTATCAGCAGATACTCAAGGTAATGTTGAAGGCTCTGTAAGGGTATTTAGTGGATACTAATAGCACTTTCCAAACAATTTAGTGGTTAAGACCACTTATTGGATGGCTAAGGCATATGACTACTTACAGTCAACAATAGTCAACTACATGTATATATATTTGGACCACTCAACATCCTAAAAGAATTGTTATAATGGACAGTCACACTATGGCTATTATAGCTTTTTAAGCATGACCCAAGCATATCTTATTGTATCTTGGTTACCAGCACAATTAATGAAGACACAACACCAACACAGATAGTGCGTATCAAAATGATGCCACTTGTACGTACAAAATCATGTCTGAGTTAATTTTTTTTTCTACTTCTCAGCTGCTCCCAGAGAAGGAGGGTAACAAGTACATGGATCTGATGAGAGACATGTCCAAAACCTACCATGGCACTGGGGAGACAGAGACAGCCGTAGAAACCATGCAGGCAGCTTTTACCAAACATCCTACCCTAGGTACTGTCAGATCAAACACTCTATTAGCACACTATGGAGATACAACCTATTTACATGTACATGAAACTTAATTATTGCGTACGCCAATGAAGGTTAAACATCCAGCTAATGAAGTTTGAATGCTGTTAAAAGTAGTTGAATTTGGAAATCAACTTATAAATCTTAGCTGTGTGTGCCAGTTTCAGGCCTGGGTAAAGAATTTATCCTGAAACTCAAATTTTTGTTATACACTGTATTAAGCATTATTCTTTTCAATAGTCTGAAAACCAACAACCTGATTTGATATGGCCTACATGTAGCTAATGCATTTGTTGCTATGAAAAACTGGACTAAATGTTGTATATATAATATGTTATATAATATGTTGTTTCCACAGTGACATTTGAGGATGTGAACATGCTGACTGAGCTGTACATCGCCATGAAGCAGTACCGACAAGTGTTGGAAGCCATGTCCAGCTACTGCAGTGTGCAGCTGTCGTGGCAAGGGGGCGTTACTGACACCATGGCTGCACTGGACATGCTCGGCATGCCTGATACAGGGAAACAGGGTTGGTCTGGCTGTAGTTGAAGTTCTCCCTGAGTTATGGTAGACTTGGCGACTTTTAGATTTATATATTTATATACAAGCATATCTAGTGCTTAATGGTTAAATGGAATCTTAATTCTTTTTTGATATTGCCCTGAAGTGATACTGTAGCTCTAGCCCAGACTTTCAAGGCATATGAGTGGCCAAATGGAAAAAAGATCAGATTGATAATTGTGAATGGTGTTAGCTTTAGTTTGTTCCCCAAACTATGAGGGTGTTGACTAAAACCTAACAAGACTGGACTTCAGGCTAGAGTGGTGTCAACCTAAAGAAAATATTTAGAAATTGCAGAAATATAACAAGTTACGATTTGGCAAGCTTGAAGACATGTGGGCTTGGTTTCATGATTAATATAGAACAGAAATGAAATATTTCAAGCCCTGTTTTATAAGTCCAAAATACAATGCAATGTTTTTCAATGTGTTTTTCCCCAGACGCGGGAAGGCTCTTTAACTTAACTTTTTCCCCAGAAACCCAGGTGCTGCATTGCACCATCCCCCCTGAGACTCCCATAGACTTGACCATCAAGCTGGCGGTCAGCCTGGTGCACCTGCGGTACCTGGGGGCAGCCAGACCACTGGTGGACATGCTGCTACAGGAGAGTGCTGAGGACATGGGAGATCTCTACCTGGACATAGCCGAGGCTTATGTCGACATTGGTAAGCTGTTAGAAGAATCAGCCTCTTTGCAAAGCTACATGTAATGCACATCTAAGTAAATAAACCCCACAAGTATGAAATTGCTGGCAGTTACCACTATGGCATTAGAGCATATTTACTCATGAACCATGCAAATTAGGTCTTCATTTACATAGTAATATCTACTGGTACTTCTGTTGGTAAATACATTTGTCACAAGTTTCAATGGATTCTCTTATGTCAGCAAGAAACCTATGTGAGCTTGGAGAGCTTGCAAGACATAGAGGAGGCACTTCAGGAATTGATTGTAACTTCAATGACTGCAGATGCAGAACACAGCAAATGATGATGAAAATAAAGCATAGATGGAAGTGTTGACTGTTTGTTGCCTCTCTCTGTGTTGTGTATCCAGGTGAGTATGACAGTGCTCGTCCTATCCTGGCCATGCTGGTCAACACAGAAAGGTACAACCTGGCTGCTGTCTGGCTCAGATATGCAGAGTGCCTCAATGCTCTTGGTAAGCTGTACATTTGTTTCTTATCACAGCTTAATTGTTAAAAGGTATTTCAGGTTCAACTCTCCCAGGGTTACCCAACTGTTTTGGGTACCTTCAGTAAATAACTACAACCAGCCTACGATACAAATCAAGCAATCATTTTCCATCATAGATATCACATTTCTGCCTCAAAGATATCAGACTGAGTATGCTGAATTTGAGATTGGATTGTTTTAAAAAATGACCAGAAAATTGATTACTTCTCAGAAATTGCTTTGGGTGACTTTAACTTTTAGATGCCCACATCTTCATCTTGTTATTCCCTACCCCAGGAAAGACAGAGCATGCTGTGCAGAGCTATGCTAAGGTAGTGGAGATGGCCCCTGCTCACCTGGGAGCCAGACTGTCCCTGTCAGCTCTGCAGCAGCAGCTGGGCAGACCTGAGGAGGCACTACAGGCTCTGTCAGAAGGTCAGAGGGTAACTCTCGCATTTTGCTTATGCTAAGTCTGTATCTGAATAGCCAGTATAACTGCCCTTCAGCATAACACACCAGCTTTGCAGGCACGTGGCACCTGGGTATATTACACCAAACGACCTGTTACACTTAACCTTTGAACATCTAACTGCAGGCGTTTTTTTGCACATCTAACTGATTGCTTAAACCTGTATGTGCAATATGCACTCTACACATGCAGGATAACTGTGGTGCTTGAATTTTTTCTGACATTACATATTAAGTCTAAGAATGCAGGAATTTATGTGAAATACTGGTATGCCAACCATCAAACATTGATTCCAGGTCAGCAGCTTTTGAGTATGGCATGGTACATGTACAGGTGCTAAAGGTACATGTATGTTGAACTGACATTGCAAGTGTGAGTATTTTCATAAATTCAACGAGACATCTTTACTTACATTCAGGTGCTCCAGCTGCCACATCTACAGCTGTAGAGACAGCTGCCCAGGTGTCCAGCCAGCCTGGTCCTGATGTGCAGCTGCTTCACCACAAAAGCACACTTCTGTACTCACAGGTTTGTAAACAGACTGCTTATTTTCTGCATCCTTACATGCATGTATTTAGGACATAGAATCTTAACATTTACCCTGGTTGAAACTAAACTTCAAATTGATGTTAGGGTTAGTCTACATGTCAGTCAGATACATGTATATTCATTTCTACATTTTGTTCTGAACTACTAGATTGGTCTCATGTTGCGATAGATTAAGGCCACAAAAACTCTCTTACAACTGTTGGACATTGTGCTATATAGTCATCCTGCATTTTTAAGTCACTTTCCTCCTTCCTACAGGGGAGAGTGGAGGATTTTGTGGACTCGGCTCTGCTCATGTTGTCCAAGTATTTTGAGGACTCGTATCGACAGCAGAACCTGCAGCTGGTGGTGAACAAGGAGACATCCCGCCGGCGGAAGTACTATCTGAGGGCCATGCAGGAGAGTAGTGGACAGGGCAGGGCTGGTGGTGGGTATGGTCTGGACTTTGGGCAGCTGGTATACAACTGCTATATACACACCAGCTTTTGTATCTGTAGTCATATGGTGTAACACTCCAGCCTCTGTACATGTATATATATATGTATATATATATATATATATATATATATATATATATATATATATATATATATATATATATATCTGTACTGGTGCAGGTTAGATTGAAAATTACTTGTACCAGACAAATTTTACCTGCAGCACTCAGACTTTGAGAAGTATCAATCACACAATCATAAAATTGTTCATAAACAATAGTATTGCCATTTATATGTCCTTATATACAGGTGGTAGCCATCTGTATCTGTATCTGTATATTAGCCGGTATAACCGCCTTTCGGCGTAACACACCAGCTTCGCAGGCACGCGGCGCGGCGGCAGCTGGCTATATTACACCGATCGACTTGTTACACCTAACCCTTGAATGTAGCATCAGCCATGAATGTAGCATCAGGCTACATGTACATAAACATACAGGTAGTACATGGACCAGTGCACCCTACATTGTAGGTGCAGATAGACATCATGTACATGTATATGTCCTGTCCCATTGCAGTGGATGTGAGTGGTAAGCTGAGTTCCATCAGTAAGCTGGAGTGGTGGGACCTGTTCTGTAAGACCAGTAAGAGTCTGGTCAAGCTGGGGAGGAGGGAAGAGGTGGAACATCTCACCATGGCTGCTCTAGCCTCGCCACAGTTTGAGAGGGATCCTGGTAAACTGAAGGTAAATATCAAACCCAGTGTTCTACCCAGTGCTTGCCCATCTTTCTGTCATCTGATGGAATTTGACCCTCATAAAGGACAAAAATTTTGCACGATCAGTTATCTTTGACGGACAAAAATAATGTAAAGATATGGAAAGAGATACATACATGTACATGTAATTAAATAAGCTTAGTCTAACTGCAAAGCCTGGCACTCAAAATGCAGGAAATAGCATTTTGAAGTCAAGATTTCAAACCTTTTCTCCCAGACGCTATAGAATAAGCATAAATGAAAATTCAAAATTTTGTGAGTGATTATGAGTACAATCATCTGCTGTTGCTATAAGTACAATATTTGTATCAGTTTCCTTGAAGCTAAAATTCTATTTCAGGACATTAAGTACATGGTGCTGAGCGCATGCTGTCTGAATAAAAACTACCGCATGGCGTACGTGCTTATCCGACCAATGATCATGGAGAACACCGAGGTGAACCAGCTGTGGAACATCTTTAGTCGGATCACCACCAGCAGTGAAGACGCCAGGCACCACCGCTTCTGTCTTAGACTCATGATTAAGGTGATGGCAGGTTTCTTTAAGAAGATACTCTTCCTTAAAACTGGGACATGTTGTATTTCTGATCAATTGTGATGTTACAACTACAGTAACTGTTTAATGATCTAAGAATTTTATGCTCCAGCTTTCATTAATTTGTAAGATCTTTTGTAAGATTTGTAATGGTCATATGCATGACAAGTGGGGTCATATGCATGTGGCATAACGGCAGAGTAGTCGACTCGGAACCAAGAGGTCCCGGGTTCAAGTCCTGACATGTCACTGATTGTGTGCCCTTGGGGAAGGCACTTAACATTACTTTCCTCACTTAACTCAAGTGAAAATGAGTATTGTCCTGTCCTATATTTGTTTCTATGTGTGAGTTACAACACCAGCAAAAGCTGCCTGTGTCACAGATGTACAAAGTATTGTATCGTTTCAATCAAATCAAATCAAGTGAACGAAATTTGACCAAGAATTGTCTCTTTTCTCCTTTCACATATTTATTCAGTTATCATGGTCAGTGACAACATTGCACACATGTTGTACCATAAACCAAATTGACTGTTCATTTTTGTTCTTCTCCTCTATTTCCAGAATCCACACAACATTGCCCTCTCCTTCCTGAACGGCCACAACTCATTGATATCGGGAACCTACAAGCATGCCCTGGGGGAGTATGTGCGCACCTATCGCCTGGACCCCAGCAACCCCCTCTCCCTCCTGCTGATTGGGTTAACGTTCTTCCACATGGCTTCTCAGAAGTACACCATCAAGCGGCACTTTGTCCTTGTGCAGGGAATGTCTTTTCTAAGTACGTTCATTCAATCATTCAAAGGGTATTACGTACATTCTATAGGTGCACAGTGCCCTTGATATGTATGTTGTAGTTTATGCTTCACCATGTCCTAAATTTGCATTCCTCTCCAACCCCCTCCAACAGCTATACTGCATGCTTTATTTGTATTACAAATTAAAACACTCAATATAAGTGTCTAAAATTCATGTTGGATGCTCATTGGAGATTTTCTTTCCTAGATGAATACCTGATTAAGCGAGGGGAAACACAGGAGGCATACTACAATCTAGGGAGAGCTCTTCACCAACTAGGTAAGGTTTGGTCTTTCCACTACATTGTGCTTTACTCTGTTATCTATATACATGTACATTGTTCATGTAGCTGGTATAACTGCCTCTCATCAGCATAACACACCAAGTGCAAAGGAGCACTGTTACAAAACGAATGGCACCCAGGCTACATTTTAGTACATTTCAGTTGTTTCAATGTATTTTTCTGTTACAGGACTAGAGCACCTGGCTATCCACTATTACCAAAAGGCCCTACATCTGGCTCCCCCTGATGTTGGAGACTCCAAGTTTTCTCACCTCCTGGACTTGCGGAGAGAAATAGCTTACAACCTGGCTCTGATCTACAGCAGCAGTGGATCCAAGAACCTGGCTAAGATGCTGCTGGACCAGTACTGCGTTGTGTAGTGGATGAAACTTTGTGAAAGATTGTGATTGTATTGTGCCAAATAGACAGATGATATGCCAGGGGAGTTGGTCCGAGAGGAGAGCAGCAAAACTGTTCTCTTAGTGCAGACCATCTACCCTGGCATATCATCTGTCTATTTGATCAATTTCTACAAAGCCCATCTGTTTGCAGAAGGAAGCTTCTCACTTGAGAACCCTGAAATATATCACTATTGGTCCGGTAAACAAGTACCAGGGGTATTGGTTCCCTAACACTATTGTATTACCTATACTATTGATTGTAACGTAACTTGTTACATTATGTTGTACAATGTAGTTGGCTTGCTCAACACTTCAAAAATGCTTCCTGTATGTCCGAGTATGGTAGTGCAGTGAGGTGAGATCTTGTATTAAAAAGATGTCTATTTTTGTAATAAATTTAAGTTGTGGTTCACAAAACCACCTTACTTATATCTGTCTGTTGTGTAATAATGTAACTTAGCAATGGACCAGGGTAGTACATGGATCTTCATGTACTACTAACAGCTTATCCATATTGCCAAAAAGCGAAGTAAAAAAAAACAAGTCTGTAAACCACATCACTGTTTATTCCAGCTGCCATGGGTCCTCAGCACCAGTTGAAGTAGTTTTCCTTAACTTTGACATGTGCAACATGCTAGAATTCCAATCTCTTGATGATGTAAAGATAGCGCTCTTTCTTTATTGTCTCAGACAACACGTAAAAACTACACAGAAACTGAATTGAATCTTGCACAAACATACATTATAATGTACATCTAATTCAGCACTCTACAAAATGTAGCTCTTCATGATAACTATAAATGCACACACATGATGACAGATGTTTCCATCCACTACCTATGTGTAGTTGTAAGGAGCAGCCAGTATCATCATTTTTTTCTTTATTTGCTAAAGGAACATCCCAACAATCAACTGCTGCCTTCAGATTTTCCGTACACTCCAAATGCAGCCTACAAGTTCTGACAGCTTTGTACGTGTAAAGCACTGCAGACAAACCGTGACAGAATATTTACTTCTGGGGGTTGCGGAAGTTCACCCCGGCAAACTTGGCTTTGTCTCCAAGCTCCTCTTCAATCCTGTACAGACGGATGTAAAATACATCATGATGGTTTCACTATTCTCTTGAAAATAAGCACAACAGGGCAGAAAAAAAGGTTTTTCTTCATTGCTTTATATAAGGCAACGTTGAGTGGTATGGCTAGTGGACATGAGACCAAGAGGTTGCGGGTTTGATTCCTAGCCTTCCTAGCTAGATGTTGTGTCCTTGGGAAGTGCACTTTACACAACTTATAGACACACATGCTATGTAAAGTAAAAAAAATTATGAAAGTTTTTTTGTTCTGATTCTTTCTGAATTGACCATGCAGAAAGGAAAAAGAGCAGAAAATATCTCTCCTATATGTAGTTGCCATCCAACAGAACAAAATGCAGACAATAAAATGAACAAAATATATTCTTACCTTACCTTACCTAATACTAATACTCATAAAATTTCCAACAACAAATTTCTACACAAATGCCCCATAAACCAGTGAGATTAGAGTCTGAAGAGACAAAATATGGTAAGTCTGACCTGAGTAGCTGGTTGTACTTGCAGAGCCTCTCAGACCGGCAGGGAGCGCCCGTCTTGATCTGTCCCGTGCACAGTCCGACCACCAGGTCTGCGATGAAGGTGTCCTCTGTCTCCCCGCTGCGGTGACTCACCATCACCCCCCAGCCATTGTCCTGGGACATCTTACAACTGGAATGCAAGAAAAACCATCAGACTGTAGTTTGTTTGGCTTGAAATCTTTTTTCTGCATATATGTACCTGAACCTGACAAATTTTTCCTGCACCACTCAGACTTTGAGAAGTATGGATCATATCAAAAACTGTTCAGAAACCATTGCCCATTGTTTCTTTTATACTTCATAGGTGGTAACAGTCAATGCAGCAAATAAAAATTCACATATATACACCTACAATATACATGTCAGGGTTCAAGGATACATGTATCTATAAACTTAGTGCATGGACCAGTGCAGGTTATCAGGTAGAAATCAGAAATACCTACAAAGCTCCAATTTTACCTGCACTAAGGTGCATAATTATGCACCTGGTATTTTGATATAGCCAATACCAATTACTGAGGAATTGTGTTTTAGTACAACCTGTACATGTAGTTGAACATTTGTACTTACGCTTCAATGGACTCAGTAACAGAGCCAATCTGGTTAACCTTCAGCAGCAGGGCATTGCAGGCCTTGTCATCAATAGCACGCTTGATACTGGGGAGAGAGAACATACATGTACATTTACATGTACAGTTTCCATAGTGACAATAATGTTGGGGAGGAGGCCCAATCAGTCATTAAAAGCGAGAGATTGTGCGCTACAGTTATGAAACTGTACGTGACAAGGTATTTCTACAAATAGTTTCATCAGGTTGGTAAAGTATAGGATACAGGAGTTTTCTTTTACACAACCAAAATTTCAGCCATGTTTGGAATTGTGTTCTCGCCGCAAAAGTACCACCTACATCGGTTACATATAGCAGCCAAGCACAGAGAAGCAGTACTCCAGTCAGCAGCTCTGAGGAAGGTGTCTGATAGACATCGAAACGTCAGCACATAGGTGAGAAATTTGGTTGTGTAAAAGAAAACTCCTGTGACAAGGTAGTCTGAATCCTCACCGTTTGGGGTTTGTCACCAGCAAGTCGTCCCCGACGATCTGGATGTCGGTCTGTCCGGTGAACTTGGCCCACATCTCCCAGTCATCCTGGTCAAACGTGTCCTCGATGGAGACGATGGGCGCCGCCGCGATCATCTCGTGATACAGCTGGGCCAGCTGGTCACCCGAGATCTGTGGGGAAAACACAAAATGTGAGCTCTCTTGGGGAAAAAAGGACAAAATGCTTCCTGGGAAAGCACAAATGGGGGACACATACATGTACATGTAAACATCCTGCAACTTTTGAACAACTGAGAGCATCGTCAAGCATCTGAAAATGTTCTCCAGTTAAAGCTTGCAGTGCCCCTTTTCCCATTTGACAAGTGTTAGTATTTTCATACATGCGTAAAGAAAAGAGACAGAAAGAAATATGGTGCAACAGGGTATGTACATGTACCTATGTATCCTAAAAGTGTGTATGTATACAGTGTACTGTATGTGTAGGATTATCACTACGGAAAAGCACTTAGTAGAACAATCAGTGATTTTTTTTAAAGGTAGCAAACATGTACCTCCAAATTTCAAAGACATAGAAAAGCAGTTTTTTAAGCAGTCTAACTGCCCCTCAAGTAGTTATCAGTGCCAACTAAAATGTCTCAAATGTTTGTTTGTTTACTTTGAAATGTTTACAAAGGCGCTGCCTACTCACGTATCTTTCGGGGTCATCTGGGCTCTTGAAGTCCAGGTCGTACTTCTTGTCACGGTGGAACTCGGAGGCGGCGACGTCCATGCCGATCTTGATCTTCCCCTCATACCCAGCTGCCTTGATGGCATCCATCAGTAGGTTCAGGGCTGAAACAAGAACATGAATGTGTGTATGTCACCTCAGTGGTAGAAATAAAATCATGACATATACAAATTGCTTGTTGGCAAACATTTATTTTTCCATGCACTTTGAAAAATACATTAAACTAATATTATTTTATGATGATAGATTGATTTTATGATGATAGATTGTCAGTAGTAAACACAAAGCTCTTAAACAATGTTATGAACCTTTAGTAAGCACCATTGAACCTTTAGTCTAATTTTTCCGGTCTGCAAAATTGCAGGTTGCTTAATTTTTCTTCTGTAATATTGAACATGTCCCTGCAAAATGCAGATTGGTATTTCTAACACTGCACATAGATTCAGTCTTCAAAACATCAAAAGCATGTTTTCTTACTAACAATGTGCAACTGCCAGTAATTTGCTGTATTGAAGGCTTAGCAGTATAGAAGAAGAATTAGTGTGTAGACTAAGCTATGTCTTTTGACCAAATGTCATCCTACTGCTAGTATGAATTGGTTAAATGAAAGTGATTGAAAATGATGAGCAGTGCATGGATAACTGTTCTTGTTAACCTTCTTTCTAGCTAGCTGAGGTAGCCTTTCAGGAATCTTATAAGACTTTGAGTCAATATTGGGAGGTTAAAAACTTTAAGAACAGTTTTGCAACTCACCTTCCTTGTTCTCCAGAATGTTGGGAGCAAATCCTCCCTCATCTCCAACATTGGTGGCTGGACAGGGGTGGAAAAAGTTAACACACCTGAACACCATAGCAATAACAGGCAGATTAACTTTCCCCAAAATAATACATCAAGCTTCTATCTCTAGAACAATCTACCATCTCACAATATCTGTAGCATTATGTACATCAGAACTGTTGAAGACATCAGTACTGTGATGCAGATGTCCTTAAAGCTTACCGTCTTGTCCGTACTTCTTCTTGATGATGGATTTGAGGTTGTGGTACACCTCGCAGCCCATCCGCATGGCCTCGCTGAAGGACGAAGCACCTTGGAGAGAAATGCAAATAGAAATTTGAGTGAGTGAGCGAGTGAATTTGAAGATACATTCAACCCAACTTATTTTGAACCCTAGAGTGAGTGAGTGAGTGAGTGAGTGAGTGAGAGAGATTAAAATTTAAGTCTCTGAACCTAAGAGACTTTTTCAGACAGGAAAACTTCCCATCCCAAGCTTAACTGACAACTTGAATTTCAATGTAGCAGTAACTTTTGAAGACTGAGACAACTAGCTTGCTCTACAGCCGACAATTTACTGGCCATTCAGTTTCAAGTGCTTTCAAAACAGTCTAAAATGGTATTTTGAATTCTTCCCTTCTTACTCAAGTACGTACCAGTTGGCAGGATCATGAACTCCTGCATGGCCAGCTTGTTGCCGGCGTGGCTGCCTCCGTTGATGACATTGAAGGCAGGGACCGGCAGGATCACCTCTGTATTTCCAGCCAGATCTGCCAGGTGGCGGTACAGAGGAACACCCTTGTGGGCTGCGCCGGCCTTGGCTGTGGCCAGGGACACGCCCAGGATGGCATTGGCTCCCAGCTTGGCTGTAGTAAGGGTGTGAGCAGATTTTAAAGCATGAAATAAAAGTACATGTCTTGGTGATAAAGCAAATGGTGCAAACAATGCTATTCTTTCATCTCGTTTGTACAACTCCTCAAATAACATCATCCAATCTGTTCTCAAATCTGATGTGATTTTCCGCAACAGCTTCTGCAATATTTGGGTATGAATTTTTGGTTTTGCTATTTTAAAAAAAACTACACAGAGATGTCATCTAAAGAATCAAGATTATCTGGGCTACATGTAAGTTCGTAATACATTTTCATATTTCAATCACCAAATTTTACAAGAAGAAGTTTTCATACTCACATTTGTTCTCAGTGCCATCCAGTTCCAACATGAAGTTATCAACCTCCTTTTGTTTTGTCACATCAAAGTTCTGTTGGCAAACAAATGTGAAAAATAAACTTTACAGATTTTGAGCTGCAAAATAAAAGTAACATATAAATACATCTATAATTTTTTTCTAATGATTACTGCCATACAACTTCATACTGACAATTACACTTACTGCAACAGTTCCACTGAACAAGTTCTATCAAACTAAAAAGGTACCTGAGCTGTGCTTAACATTTTCTGGATTAAGGAGAATTTACAGACAGAGTTCATCACTTATGACATATTCTAAAACGTTTCCTTACCTTCTGGATGACAGCTGGAGCAATGATGTCATTGATATTAGAGACAGCCTTGCTCACACCTACGGAAAGAAGATGTAGCCGTGTTATCCCTCTATTCACAGTCTTCATAGGTCATAACCTGAAATTAGGCCAGACAGTAGTCATTTTGTCATACCCAATCTCCAACAAAAGAACTGGCAGTAACTACAGCGGGTGGCACCCAGGCTACAAACACATAGCAGTAAAGTTTTGTTTGTTTGTTTGTTTACTTACCCTTTCCCAGGTACTTGGATTTGTCCTTGTCCCTGAGTTCCAAAGCCTCATAGATACCCGTGGAAGCACCGCTGGGCACTGCAGCACGGAAAAGACCTGCAGGGGTACAAATGTACATGTACATGAGTGGTTCTTTTGCCAGCACACTACAACTTCATAAAAGTCTCATACACTAGCAGTATCATTTAACAAGTAATTGTAAGGGCAATGGAATATGTTACAGGAAGGTAAATTCAGAGAATCTGAATAACTTAATTCACCTTATGAGTCACTCAGAGGTGGCAAAAGAAAAATCTTTTTGCAGAAATATGCAGTGTGGGACTTGTTAGATTTACAGCTGATATACATATTCTCACATAGTCTTACTTTTCTTATTTAAGTTATTAATAATTTAATGATTGACTGATCTATCGATATATCAAGATATAGTTTGTGGTTTTATACCTTTGCTTGTGACCAGGTCGACCTCTACCGTTGGGTTCCCGCGGCTGTCGAAGATTTGACGAGCGTGGATCTTGCTAATCCCGGACATGGTGGCTGGCTAGTGGTGGCTTCTGCTTCTACAAAAACAAAGGTTGAATAAATGTAAATCAAACTGGAATAATCAGACTACTGGACTATGTACCTCATTATTTTTTGATGTTCCCATGCCATTGATACCATGATAATTGCTCAAAATATACAATTCAAATCTTTTCCTCAAGAAACATGCTCGAGTCAAAATAAAATCATCCAGTCTTCAGTTAGTGTTCCAGCACATCTTGTCATCAAACTTGCTACAGTACTTAAAATTTAGGTTTAAATCAAAACTAAACATCTCGCTGATGCTAACTTTTGTGCATTAAATTCCAGGTGAGCAGAGCTAATTATATAAGCAAGAACATCATCTATGCTTTCTAGAAAAATGATCATCCAGACATAACCTACATGTACATTGTATACTGTAGTGACCTCCTTGTTCTAGTCCAAACCTTAAAATAGCAGCACCATGTTTTTACAGCCTTGTGGGGGGCAGGGGTTATTAGAGCTAAGCGATTACAGTAACACCAAGTTATGTACACTATATTATCATTAACAACTTATTACACAAAGAAATTTGAAGTTTCGTTTTCACAGATTAATAGTCTTATGAAGCCATAATTTTACCTCTCTTGTACGTTAGCTCATTACTATTCTGGTCAGCTCTTTTCCTTTAGCAACCATATAACAAATGGACCTAGTTATTACTGGAACCCAGCCAGTTTTTAAGGTTACTAGCGGCTGTCTGGCGATGTGAGGAGCATCTACTAAGTGGTCTGTACTCTCTTAGAATTAAAGCACTAAGTATAACCTAACAGGGGTATGAACTTGAAAGTGACCACATTTTTTTAGCAGTGACTGCAGGTACAACACGTAAGACATGCCATAAAAAGAAGTATATACTGACCACTTTAAAGTTGAGTGTTTTTTACATGTAGCGCAATGAATATCCTCTAGTAACCCTGAAGACTGGCTGTATTCCAGCATGTAAATTATTATTAGTTGCAGTAACTTTTATGGATACTGTATCAATGTTAGTACAGAGGACAAAATATCCTGACTGACTCTTCTATTTTCATATTCTGCCAAAGTGCATGCAATGTATAGGGCGAAAAAGCAGACACCTGCAATTTGAGATGACACTTTTTATGCAATACTTTGCAATTTTGCATTTTTCCGTTGAGTGCCTTGTGTTAACGTTGCTTTTCTTCGAAATCTATGAAATACGTTACAAGTTAACCTGCGTCTTTATGTAACCTGACGGTGCAAACAATGTGCATGCAGAATCTTGTCCTGGTCTAATTCTAACTTCAATAGTATATAACTTGACAACAGTAATTACCATGAGATAACGACGACGACTATGAGGTAATAATGACTGTAATAAAACATTATCAAGTACGCGAAAATCAGTCACATTTTTCACCCCATTGAAGTATGATCAAGGGGGAGGGGCCAAAATACCGGCACGTTAGCGTATACATAATTTACAAAGTGCTAAGTGCAATTCTAAGTACTCTATCAGGATTCATGTCCCTGGCCCCTTAATAGGCCTTAATAGAGACACTAGTTTTTAGATTGTGAATTGTAACAAAGTATACGTTTTGTTAATGGTGCTGAAGAAATAAATCGAGGTCAACATGTTATGTACGTGGTGGGCATGCCAACACGTAAAGTTTTAACTCATCATAGCAAATTCTATCATACTAAGATCATTTTAAAATCTATCAAATCAGATTTTCTTCCGTAGAAAATCTCTTAAGCGTTGAAGCATCAAATCAAGGTATTTTAAAAACCGTTTATACTTGAAGTGAATATTATCGTACTGATCATGCGTGGCGTACGTGCAGTGGGGTCACCTTCAAGTTCCACCTAACCGGCAAGGTATCGACTGACGTTATATTTCAATTTCCAGCTGAAATTCTTACCCAGAAATGCCCAAATCTTTGCATACCCAAGAAAACATTTTCCACTAACGTTAAAGTTAAACAGTATTGTATATCATGGCGATATAAGGGAGAAATTTGAAGAATATCTGAACGTACCGTGCGAGGGCCTTGCGACTGCTGCTTGTGTCAGACTGGGCAAGATGGCGAGAGGCAGTCACGTGACAGTCGGCACATTTGCATCCCAGGTCATTGACCTATGACGTAGACCTCAAGCAGATGTGTGGTTGGGACCCTCAGTTGGTCGGCATATTTAGCCAATCTAAAGACGCCAAGGCACTTTTCTGGAAAGTATGGCTTGAGGGAAAAAAAAACAGATAAGGATTACTCGCTGAACTATGCTTGTTTTTATTCTACACAGAGTAAGAGAGTTGCAACAGGCTAGGTTCTTTCAAAGTAGTATCAAATATTTACACTAAAGCCTAAAGATGTCAGTCAGTCTGAGCTGCCTTAATTTGCATTACGACAAAGGCATCTGATTGGTCTGCAGCCTTAGGTCGAAAAAGAAACCAGCCAATCAGGATAACCTGTAATAAAGAACCTTCCTCACGCTCTACCCAGTGTGTGTGTAGAACGCACGCAGTCTAAAAAGTTGAAACACCTGTGGGTTCTGGTACATTTCGTTACCAGCGGGTTTAGGAAAAAAACGTTGGACACTTGGACACGACAACAATGTCTACAAAAGGTGAGAGTTATGTTTGAGAAAAATGTAGAATCATTGTTCATTTGCTCGTCAAAAGTTCTGTGTACTATTTTAAAGTAATGGATAACGAAAGACAAAGTTCAAACTTCCTCATGGTTCACTGTGCTCATGGTTCAAACTTCCTCGTGAAGTGGCTAAAAACTGTCGTATATTTTCAGGGTTTAAGCCGATCCGAGCTTGCGGTGCTCCCGACGTCACGGTGAAGCGTCAGAAAGGCGGCCGGACAGGACTGGCTCTCCTGGCGGGAGCATGCCTGGGTGCCGTGGTGGTGTGTGCCGTCCTCATGCCGCTCGTCTACTTCACCCTGGCCGATCTGCAGGCCAAAGTGGACAAACTCAGCGACGACGGCGTCCAAAAGGTGGGGGAAATCTGTATCTGTATATATCGGTATAACATACTAGTAGCCTCTACAAACTATCATTCCCCTGGCATGATAGCTCTCTATTTCGGCCAATTTCTACTCTTTCCAGCCACTTCCCAAAGCCTGGTAGAGGCAAGGTATAACAGCCCTCTGTTGTAACACCCCAGCCATATTGTCTTGCCAGATACACTCACATACGTTTGAAACAAAAACATACTACTTAAGTTTTCTTTAGATCCGTACAAACAGTTTAAGCCGCTAGTTTCTTTTACTACTTTTGATTCTTATAAGCACTGTTTTCATTAAATGAAATGTGTACAAATGGGCAATCTCGGTGCAGATGTTATGTAAAAAACAAAACAAATGCGCAGCAGTAGAGTTTTACTTCCTTGAGTTATTTCCGTAACCTGAGACGAGTGGTAGAGCCTTAACTGTAAACAATGACTTTTCACAGTAGTTTTGTTGTTCAAGCCCTAGCCATATAAGGCAGCTATGGAATGCCTGTCAACTACATGTACGACAACATGTAGGACGTCGGTGTCGTGGTTCACAGCACTTAAGATATTCAAGGCTCTTAAACCCGAGTATGCGTTACGTCTACTTACAGACTGAGGCACTTTTGTTTTGCCTTAGGCGTTGAAGTTGCGCAGTGATTCAGCGGTCGTCGCTACCGACTCGCTCGGGGAGACCGCAGAATTTCAGAGCGCAGATGGTAATAGCGACGACCGGCAACGTCGTGACGCGGGCGGATCTGGACCTGTGCGCCCGCAGCCTCCTCCACGGCCAAGGAGCGGTGCAGTGTACGTGCGCTGGGGAAGGGACAGCTGTTCCTCAGACGTCGAGACTCTGTACTCTGGTAAGTACATTGTTGAGTACATCTACTGGTCGCGTAGCTTTACGCGTATAGCCCGAGCTCGAGCTCACACCATGCCCTCACAAACGTAAAAGGAAAGCATGCGCAAGGCGTGTACAGAAAAACTCACCAGGAATGTCTATATTTTAGTTCTACTAGAACTTGACTAGAGTCTTTATCTCGGTCATGTATCTACCGACCCGAGTGTACGAGAGACTGTAATAATAAGTCAATCTGAATGGTGGCGCTTGTTTGGCCTGTAAAATTCGGAAAGTTTTATCAAGTCTTCTATCACATTTGCCAATCGTCTCCTCCTTCAGTCTACATCGACGATGATAGATCAGTCTACATCGGGATATTATTATGAACAGACCTATACGAAAATGAAAGTCTCTCAGTCTGCCAGACTATAGGGCGCATGCATCTGTAATCTGACTCAGATGCGTTGCAAGACTCCATGAATTTACTAAATTTTAAGATAGGTAATTTAAATTTGTGACTTTGACCGTTTGCGTTCCTTTTAAACAGGAATAATGGGAGGCGGACATTACAGCCATCACGGGGGAGGTGGAAACTACCAATGCCTCCCTCTGGACGATGTAGTGTGGAACAAACCACAGGCGGGATACCAACATCACAGTTACATGTACGGGGCGGAGTATCAGACGGGGCCAGGTTTTTTTTCAGCCGACAACATGCCAGACGGCATCACCAATCCCGCTAACTACGATGTCCCCTGCTCCGTGTGCCACGTGCCCGGGCGGTTCTCCAACGTCATGATCCCCGCCCGCATGTCCTGTCCGCAGGGTTGGAGCAAAGAGTACAGCGGCTACCTGATGTCGTCTTACTACAGCCACAACAGCAACAAGGACTTTATCTGCGTCGACGAAGCTCCCAACCTTGTGCCGGGTTCGGCTGCAGATCAAAACGGAGCTCTGCTGTACCTAGTAGAGGCGCAGTGTGGCTCTCTTCCCAACGGGCCTTACGTCAATGGTTACGAGCTGACCTGTGTGGTCTGCACCAAATGAATCTGAGAGTTTAGACAGCGCTTCGCGAGTGCGAGTAGTGAAGGGTTACCGTAGTTAATATGAATATCGTGTTATCGGCTCTGTTTGTGTGCATGTCAGTGTACGTATTTCAACGGTTAATGGCATATCTCAATAAGTTGTCGCAAGTCAGACATTATATGTATATGTATAATGTCCTTGGTTGTGGATATACATCTTCATGACATTTTGTACGTAAGTACTCGTAGATGCACGTCTATCCAGGATCACATAAATGATCTACTGTTCAGGATACAATACAATTCAATACTATAATTTGATATGCTATATATTCATGACGTTTTCCTTTTATGATGTCTAGTACTTTTTTTAAAACTTAGGCGAAGATAAAGTGAGAAATTAAAAATTAATGCAACGCGTGAAAGGCTAGGCAGATGATATATGGCATAGGCAGATGATATAATCAACAATAGGCCATATTTGTTTGAGATTTGATTTAAAACATAACATAAATGGATATCAATTGTGCATACGAGGACAATGTTTACTTACGACTGGTGGACTATAACATAACAGGAGTAATCAAGTTCTATATTCATGATCACAAGGGCCATAAGTTGACAAAGCTATAAGATCGTGGAGCTCTATATTTCTATAAACACTTTGATATCCAGTCTATTCTGTAATCATATCATTATCTTATTGTGCAAGAAAACTATAGAAAAAATCATAGTGGACTTAAGCTTGTTTAACTAAGCAAGTAGGGGCCTATATTGTACCTTTGCAGTGTGTAATAAAACCTTCATAGTAAACAGGGAATCGTTGGTCTGCTAATTTATCTAAAATATTCGGGGTTTCATAGTGGTAAATTATAGGAATTTTGTACTTGCCACGACTACCATTTGACATAAATTATGCAAATCAGAGCTTCATTTACATAAATGGAAAAGAAGAAAATGTGACAAAAACACCTGGTGTTCGACTTCAAGCAGCCTTAACAAACAAATCCTTGCACACGGTGCCCGACTGGGCGATGGCATTTGCTACGGTAAAACCGCCTCACTGAGGTGATATCAGTTTCAATGTCACAACCCTTTTTGTTTTGTCTTGACAGCGTCTGGCATTTACACCTGAATAGGTGACAAATCGTCTGCCATGAGTAAATAGTGTTCAAGCTCCAGTGTGTTGGACGCCATTTTATGTCAACAGTACTAGTGCATCGTAAATATGAACACTGAATGTTGCGAAAACGACACTTTGGCCTGTCTACGTATATGCCTGCGTAAATGCTAGGGCACTAGAATACGAGGGCACCACTGCATAGTATATGCTTTTATTTCCATGCAACGCCAGACGAATGAAGTTTACAAAGGTAAAAGGGTGAAAAACACAACACCCAACACAAATATACAGTATGAAACGTTACAAATACATTATGGTTCTAACTTACAGGGTGAAAACCATAAAAGTACGTACATGAGATGGTGATATGAATCATTGGTCATCTTGTTTCTATAACATTCTTCACACAACATTAGCAGCAGTTCATAGAGAACAGGACATTGGCAGTGTTCTAACGAAGACATTGTCGACTTCATATTTAAGATTCTGTTGTCATCTGTTTACAACAGTGTAGGTAATCTGTTCCACAGTTCTACAGCTGGAAATAAAGTTTGTTTGGCAGTATAAAGAGCCTGTCACACGGCTCATCTGTTTGCGTTTTGGAAGTGATGCACATGACAGTCAGTTGTATATATAATATACATCACCATGGCACTATGTGCACTATGCTGAGCATAAAGAACGTATCCTGCACTAGAACGCTAAGAAGATTTAAAAATATCAAGATGTTCATACACAGGCACGGACACACATACATCTTGTGTGCCTGTTCCTTTATAAAAGTAGTCTGACTTGCTTGATTATACACTGAGTAAGAAAGTAAATATATTTGTATTTTTAGGGCTGGTCCAAACCACTCGGTCCTTTCTAGGGCCAACGAAACGGTTTCCACAGGATCGACCTAGCTGTTCGACTCAGTTGTAGCTATAATATCCAGTCTTTGTATCATTGGAGTACAGGTTTTGGGTCGGGGGTTGCATCCCCATTGACTGACCACCTTCCGAATACGCCGGGGGCTGCGGTAAGAAGTACCCGGGCTGTGCGCCTGGAGCTCGGGGAGGGATTGTGACCGGTATGGAGGCTACCTTGTTGTGTGCCTCCCTACATTTGTAGAGGAAGTAGAAGAAGAGGAGGGCGGAGAGGAAAGTGAAGATGCTGGTCCACAGCATGGAGTGGAACATGGCGTCCCACGTGAAGAGCCGAGTCAGCACAGCATTCTACAAGGAGAGATAAACTCGAAATGTAACATTTGCAAAGCAAATGCATAATATTCATCTTCACATGGTCTAGCCCAACAAAGTATTACTTTGTACTGCCGTACTCAAACACATTCACGTTCATATATATGGTGACCAGCCCCTCCAGCTATAACTTGCTACATGATGTAATCCATAGGGTGTTGGCTACAGCACTAGTGTATCGTATTTGTACTGTATTTGTATTTGTTTTTATTATGTTTTATTATTATTATTTATGAAAAATACAAGGAATACAATGATACTAACCCCTGGCCTGTCTGGATGGTACAGGCATGTGTAGGACGTCCCAGGAGCATAGGTGTCGTTGAAATTCAGGACATCTCTATCGTTTTGCCCCGCATCTCTCTGGCACGGTGCCGTCACACACTGTTCAATCTGAAAAAGAAGTCTCGAATGTGTCGGTCTTCATCTTATTTTAGTAATTTTTCAGTTCCGTTTTACTGCATAATCACGAATACAATTTTAACGTAAACTTTAAAATTTTGGTATCCAAACCGGGCTACAACAAAATAACATGTTTTATATCTGTATCTGTATAGCCGGTATAACCGCCTTTCGGCGTAACACACCAGCTATACATATTATGTAACAATAAAAGCACTGCCAGGTAAAACCAGATGATGTGTCATAATGTATTGTCATATTCTGGTATGACAATGGTAAAGTTCATACAATTATGTAACCATGCTACCGTGGTCGACAGGTACAACGTATAGTAACATATTTGAAGTACTAGTATAACATCTGAGGATTCTTACTATGTACATTAGGGTTAGAAAGTGACACATACTTACTGTAGACAAATCAAATGTTTATTACTTTGGGACCCTTATATACGTAGTCGTAATCGCCACATCGTATCGTAACACTTCAACAGTGTTTCTTGTCAACCATCATACTCTTCATGTAGAAAACTGATTTATCTATTGTTACCTCGGCGGAGCCTCCATTGTTGTTCAGCCTTTGCTCAGTGTCGAAAAGTACACCGTCGACGGTGCCGTTGTTTACAACATACGTCACAGTCATGCGCAGACAGGGGTAGGTAGACTGGCAGCTCTTACCACAGCCACAGCCAATTCTTCTCCCTAAAATAACGCAGTCAGACATTATTGGGATGACGAAAGTACATAAAAATCCGAAGAAAGCAGCTTTCCTGTTGGTTTTTATGCCTTAATCAAACTAGTGTGCTACATTGAATATACAAACACAGAATCGTATTTTGCCATGTTGAAAGAATGCTGCAATCATCGTCAAGTTTATTTGACCTCGCCCACTCATGCATAATACGAGTAGATCACGTCCCCTCGATCGTTCGAATTCATTGTATCTACTACATATGAATTATAAATAATCCAATGTAAAGATTGGTCTAGTCACTGACACTAAATAAAGTTGCTGGTGTCATTTTCCTCACAAAGCTGAAAGGTTGCGGAGCTAACAACCATTTCCCAGATAGAAGCAGTACAGGAAAGCGCCATTCTTTCACTGGTGAATGTAGTTGTAATTCAGGATGACGAAAAATATATACCTGAGTGTATTCTTAGGAATTAATCAAATACAATTGCTTGTTTATCTCTAATATACACCAACTTATTAACAGACAGTCACCTGTAAGATAACTTTGGTTTGTGGTACAAGTTGTCTCCTGGAACTCCAGAGACTTTGTCTCCACGACCGGTTTGGTGATTACGACCCCACAGACGATGAGTCCCGTCGCGCAACATGCCGCAAAAGACCCGGCAAGTATAGCCCAAATGCAGCACCCGCCAGCCTGTTTCACTGCATCCTGCCTTTTGCGATCATCATGCATCTTGCCACGTTCCTGAAGTGAAGAAAGAATGGTATCTTGAATTTTGGGTTGCAACGATACATGGGTTTGTGGGGCAATTTTTGAAGAGCCCGTGTTTTCGAAGGGTCGCAGAACACAGTATTAATGGGCGACCCCCGGGTCTATGACGCAGTTATACAAGGTAGTGCGGACAAAACTCTTAAATCCTGGAAAAAAAAGAAATATTTTAGAACACATACACTGGCCGTGTTTCTCTAACTAGTGCACCCTACTACGAGTATAAGTTTTACCGCGTCGAAGTGAGTCACCTTGGGGCGAAAACTGTATTCTGCAACCTTAACCAGGTCTATTGTCCTTGTCATACTTTGAAAAAAAATGGGCGTGTACTATCCGGTTTCCGTAAAATCTAAAGGAGGCCGTTTGTTTTTTTATCTAACCTTGATCTGAAAATATTACACTGTAAGGAAGTCTCGATGTAACGTGCTAGTATCAAGTTAATTAAAGGACGGTGTTTTCTTGTAAAAAAAAGGAGATTTGGGGTTTTCCGTCTGCTGCTTTTCTTTGCAGGCATAGCGTGAAGTCTAAATAGAACCACGGTTCGACCTACCGGACGTTAAGCTGCCAGCCACGAAAACTTTTTACTTCGATCCATTATCTGCTTATTACTATCATGGGTTGTCATAAAGAGAGTCCCTCAGGTAGATCTTTTCCCGTCATGGACATTATAAGACGCCTACGGCATAATCCTTGACGTAATCTCCGAAACCACTATATATTTAGCTGGGTGGACATAGCTGACACTTACTTGCCGGCCCCGTTTCAGTTTTGCACCCAGGCTAAGGTAAAAAAACAAGAATACGTTGTAGTGAAGGGGTGGTGGTGGTGTTGAGCCTACACTCAGTTCTTGGTGGAAATGGTAACTCGTCTGGCATCTTATTAAACGTCGTGATTTGGCCAGTTTCAAGTGTACCTTTACCAGCCCACGTAGTCTTGAACCTGGCATTACTATCCCCGCAAATACACCAACATCGACGCCTGTTAACGTATCTGAGATGTTAAAGGTGTAAAGAGCACGAGATATATGGAGATGACTTACTTCTGAAGCCACAGTAACAGGTAAGAAGACGCCTGAACTTCACAGTTCCACCGCACCGACTGGTGTCAGTCACCGTCAGCCGCTGCGTATGACCTACCTGATGACGACACCTGTTACCATGGCTGCATGGCTGCAGGGTGAGGCCTGAGCTCCTAGGTGCGCTATAGCAGAACAGAAGTAATCAAGTTCTATATTCATGATCATATAGGGGATAAATGAAAACAAATGATACAAAGGTGTAAGATCGTAGAGCTTTATTTCTTTCAATACTTTGATATCCAGTCTATCCTGTAATCATATCATTATCCTATTGTACAAGAAAACTATAGAAAAATCATAGGCCTGGACTTAAGCTTGTTCAACTAAGCAAGTAGGGGACTTATATTGTGCCGTTGCAGTGTGTAATAAAACCTTCATAGTAAACAATGCATCGTTGGTCTGCTAATTCATCTAAGAATGTTTGGGGTTTCATTGTGGTAAAATGATTGGAATTGTATACTTGCCACGACTACCATTTGACATAAATGATGCAAATCAAATCTTCATTTCCATAAATAGAAAAGAAGAAAATGTGACAAAAACACCTGGTGTTCGATTTCAAGCAGCCTTAACAAACAAAGCCTTGCACACGGTGCCCGACCGGGCGATGACATTTGCTCCCGTCTCACTGAGGTGATCAGTTTCAAAGTCACAACCCTTTTGTTTTGTCTCCACGGCGTCTGCCTCTTTCACCTGAATAGGTGACAAATCGTCTGCCATGAACAACTAGTGTTCAAGCTCCAGTGTGTGGGACGCCATTTTATGTCAACAGTGCGAAAACGACACTAGGGCCTGCTTACATAATATACATCTGCCTAAATGCTAGGAGACCAGGGCACCACTGCATCGTGTATGTTTTTATTTCCATGGCACGCCATACAAATAAAGTTTACAAAGGTAAAAGAGTGAAAAACACAACGCACGTACACAAATATACAGTATGAAAAGATCTACAAATACATATAATTCTAACTTACAGTGTAACCATAATATAGTACGTACATGAGATGCTATATGGTGATATGAATCATTGTTCCTGTACCATTCTTCACACAACATTAGCAGCATTCCACAGAGAACATACAGGACATTGGCAGTGTTCTAACCCAGGCATTGTCGACTTCATTTAAAATTGTCTCTGTTTACAACAGTTTCTCTATATGTGATCTGTTCCACAGTTCTAAAGCTGAAAAAAGTATATAATATATAATATACATCTCCACTATGTGCACTATGCTGAGCTTAAAGAAAGTATCCTGCACTAGAACGCTAAGAAGATGAAACAATATCAAGATTCTATATGTTCATAACAGGTACGGACCCACATACACCTCGTGTGCCTGTTCCTTTGTCTGATTTGCTTGATTATACACTGAGTAAGAAAGTAAATACATTTGTTTTTGTTTTTTAGGTTTGGTTCAAACCATGTACCACTTGGTCCTTTGCCTTGTATTAACAGGGAACGAAATGGTTTACACAAGGTCGTGAGAAAATCGGGCTAGCTGTTAGACTCAGTTGTAGTTGTAGTTAGAATATCCAGTCTTTGTATCATTGGAGTAGATGTTTTGGGGCGGGGGTTGCATCCCCATTGACTGACCACCTTCCGAATACGCCGGGGGCTGCGGTAAGAAGTACCCGGGCTGTGCGCCAGGCGCACGGGGAGGGATTGTGACCGGTATGGAGGCTACCTTGTTCTTTGCCTCCCTGCATTTGTAGAGGCAGTAGAAGAAGAGGACGGCAAAGATGAAAGTGAAGATACTGGTCCACAGCATGGAGTGGAACATGGCGTCCCACGTGAAGAGCCGAGTCAGCACAACATTCTACAAGTAGAGAAAAAAGTAAATAGATAAACTCGAAATGTAACATTTGCAAAGCAAATGCATAATGTGATTTATCTTCACATGGTCTAGCCCAACAAAGTACTGCTCTGCCGTACTCAAACAAATTTACGTTCATATATATGGTGACCAGCCCCTCCAGCTATAACTTGCTACATAATGTAATCCATAGGGTGTTGGCTACATCATCCGTGTATCTTACTTGTATTTTTTTATTTATGTTTTATTATTATCATTTATGAAAAATACAAGGAATACAACACAAATGATACTAACCCCTGGCCTGTCTGGATGGTACAGGCATGTGTAGGACGTCCCAGGAGCATAGGTGTCGTTGAAATTCAGGACATCTCTAGAATTTTGCCCCGCATCTCTCTGGCACGGTGCCGTCACACACTGTTCATTCTGAAAAAGAATTCTCGAATGTGTCGGTCTTCATCTTATTTTCGTAATTTTTCGATCCAGTTTTACCACATAATCACGAGTGCATTTTAAGGCAAACGTGGAAATCTCGGTATCCAAACTTGGCTACAACAAAATAACATGTTATACAATCAAAGCAGTATATTAGGGTTAGAAAGTGACACATACTTACTTGTAGACAAATCAAACGTTTATTACTCTGGGACCCTTATATACGTAGTCGTAATCGCTACATGTTAAAACTTCAACAGTGTAACGATACATTGCTCTTGTCAACCATGGTACTCTTCATGTATAAAACTGATTTATTTATTTATTTATTGATTGATTGATTGTTACCTCGGCGGAGCCTCCATTGTTGTTCAGCCTTTGCTCAGTGTCGAAAAGTACACCATCGATGGTGGCGTTGTTTACAACATACGTCACAGTCATGCGCAGACAGGGGTAGTTGGACTGGCAGTTCTTACCACAGCCACAGCCAATGTTTCTCCCTAAATGATGCAGTGATTATTGATTTGATTTGATTTATTGAGATTTCAACAATACAACATACGTGAAACAAAGGCAGCTGTTGCTGGTGTTGTGTCCCACACATAGAACAAATACAGGACAGACAATACTCAATTTCACTTGAGTTACGTGAGGAAAGTCTTGTTAAGGGCCTTTCCCCAGGGCACAAGATCTGTGCCATTGGGATGACGAAAGTACATAAACATCCAAAGGAAGCACATTTCATGCTGGCGTTTATGCCAGAATCAAACTAGTGTGTTACATCAAACACAGAAGTGTATACGACCCTCTTGAAAGAATGCTGCAAACATCGTTTGACCTCGCCCACTCATGCATAATAGATACCTTCCTCTCGTTCGTTCATTGTATCCACCTCATATGAATTTTAAATACCCCAGTTGCTGTCACCAAATCAAGACTGTCTTGTTCTAACTAGTCACTGATACCAAATTTAAGTTACCCCCCAAAGCTGAAAGGTGGCAACCAGTTTCTCAGAAAAAAAAAGCTTCAAGTACAGGGAAGGGCCATTCGTTCACTGCTGAATGTAGTTGTAATTCAAGAGGACGAAAAATGTATATACTGGTATTCTTCGCAATTCATCAAATACAACTGCTTATTTATCTCTAATATACACAAACTTATTAACAGACAGTCACCTGTAAGATAACTTTGGTTTGTGGTACAAGTTGTCTCCTGGAACTCCAGGGACTTTGTCTCCACGACCGGTTTGGTGATGACGACCCCACAGACGATGAGTCCCACCGCGCAACATGCCGCAAAAGACCCGAAAACTATAGCCCAACTACAGCACCAGCCGGCCTGTTTCACCGCAGCCTGCCTTTCACGATCATCATGCATCTTGCCTCGTTCCTGAAGAGAAGAAAGAATGGTATCTTGAAGTTTGGATTGCAACGATGCATGGGTTTGTGGGGCAATTTGTGAAGAGCCCGTGTTTTCGAAGGGTCCCAGAACACAGTATTAATGGGCGACCCCCGGGTCTATGACGCAGGTATACAAAGTAGTGCGGACAAAACTCTTGAATCCGTCTAGAAACATTTTAGAACATACGTTGGCCGTGTTTGTCTACTGCACCCTACTATACGTTTTACCGCGTCGAAGTGAGTCACCTTGGGGTCCTGAACGATAGAAATCCCCGTCGGGCGAAAACTGTGTTCCGCAACCTTAATCAGGTCTATTGTCCTCGTCATGCTTCGAAAAACATGGGCGTGTACTATCCGGTTTCTGTCGAATGTAAAGGAGGCCGTTTGTTTTTCATTCAATCTTGATCTGAAAATATTACATGTAAGGAAGTCTCGATTTAACGTGCTAGTATCAAGGTAATGAAAGAAACGTGTTTTCTTGTTAAAAAAAGGAGATTTGGGGTTTTCTATATGCTGCCTTTCTTTGCAGGCATAGCGTGACAGGCTGTCAGGGACTGACAAGTGTAAATAGAACCACGGTTCGACCTACCGGACGTTAAGCTGCCAGCCACGAAAACATTTTTTACCTCGATTTTTTTTATCTGTTTATCATTATCATGAGTTGTCATAATGAGATTACGTCAGGAAAATCCACCAGGGAGACTATACAGCCTGCGTTCGTCGTCATCTCACTAGCTGTTAAAATTCCACCGAAGCTCTTGACCAATTCGGCAGATACAAAAAAAATGCTGCAGTTTGGGATTACTGAAACATGGATATATCCTAGGGGAGGGGGTTTTGACCTTGTAGTGGGGGCAATTAATTCAGCTCTTTGTTGGGAATGCTTACACGGCTAACTCGTCTGACAACTTACTGATCCAACGTTGCTAATTTCAAGTATACGCTTCCACCAACCCACGTAGTCTTGCACCTGGCATTACTATCCCCGTAAATACACCATGTACCAACGCCTGTTAACGTATCTGAGATGTTAAAGATGTAAAGGGCATAAGGAACACGAAGCTTACTTACTTCCGAACCCACAGGAACAGGTAAGAAGACGCCTGGACTTCGCCAATCCGCCGCACCGACTGGTGTTAGTCACCGTCAGCCGCTGCGTATGACCTGCCTGATGACGACACCTGTTACCATGGCGGCATGGCTGCAGGGCGAGGCCTGAGCTCCTAGGTGGACTATAGCAGAACAGAAGTAATCAAGTTCTATATTCATGAACATATAAGGGATGAATACAAATGATACAAAGGTGTAAGATCGTAGAGCTTTATTTCTTTAAATACTTTGATATAATGATATGATTACAGGATAGACTGGATATCATGATATCATGATATCCAGTCTATCCTGTAATCATATCATTATCCTATTGTACAAGAAAACTACAGAAAAATCATAGGCCTGGGCTTAAGCTTGTTCAACTATAAGCAAGTAGGGGTCTTATATTGTACCGTTGCAGTAATAAAACCGTTATAGAAATCTGGGCATCGTTGGTTTGCTAATTCATCTAAGAATTTGTGGGGTGTCATCGCGGTAAATGATTGGTATTTCATAATTGCCACGCCCACCGTTTGGTATAAATTATGCAAATCAGGGCTTCTTTTACATAAATGGAAAAGAAGAAAAGGTGACAAAAACACATGGTGTTCGACTTCAAGCAGCCTTAACAAGCAAAGACTTGCACACGGTGGCCGACCGGGCGATGACATTTGCTACGGTAAAACCGTGTCACTGAGGTGATATCAGTTCTGAAGTCACAACCCTTTTTGTTTTGTCTCCACGGCGTTTCCCTCTTCCACCTGAATAGGTGACAAATCGTCCGCCATGAGCAAATAGTGTTCAAGCTTTAGTGTGTGGGACGCCATTTTATGTCATGGTAAATATTGGCACTAAATGTAGCGAAAACGACACCAGGGCATGTCTACATACATCTGCCTAAATGCTAGGACACCAGGCACCACTGCATAATATATGTTTTTATTTCCATGGCACGCCATACAAATGAAGTTTACAAAGGTAAAAGGGTGAAAAACACAACACCCTTACACAAATATATAGTTTGGAAATATCTACAAATACATATCATTCTAACATACAGGGTGAAAACCATAATAGTACGTACATGAGATGGTGATATGAGTCATTGGTCATCTTGTTTCTATACCATTCTTCACACAGCATTAGCAGCAGTCCATAGAGAACAGGACATTGGCAGTGTTCTAACCAAGATATTAATGTCGACTTCATTTGAAATTCTGTCTCTGTTTACAACAGTTTCTCTATATGTGATCTGTTCCACAGTTCTACAGCTGGAAATAAAAAGTTTGTTTGGCAGTATAAAGAGCCTGTCACACGGCTCATCTATTTGCGTTTTGGAACTGATATACTTCTGCAGTACACATGAAAGTAATTTGTATATATAATATACAACACCACTATGTGCACTATGCTGTGCATAAAGAATGTATCCTGCACTAGAACGCTAAGAAGATTAAACAATATCAAGATTCTATATGTTCATAACAGGCACGGACACACATACACCTCGTGTGCCTCTTTCTTTATAAAAGTAGTCTGATTTGCTTGATTATACACTGAGTAAAAAAGATAAATACATTTTTAGGGCTGGTCCAAACCACTTGGACCTTCCTTTGCCTAATACAACTGTACTAACAGGGAACGAAATTGTTTCCAAGAGGTCGCGGAAGAATCGACCTAGCTATTAGACTCAGTTGTAGTTGTAATATCCAGTCTTTGTATCATTGGAGTAGATGTTTTGGGGCGGGGGCTGCATCCCCATTGACTGACCACCTTCCGAATACGCCGGGGGCTGCGGTAAGAAGTACCCGGGCTGTGCGCCAGGCGCACGGGGAGGGATTGTGACCGGTATGGAGGCTACCTTGTTCTTTGCCTCCCTGCATTTGTAGAGGCAGTAGAAGAAGAGGACGGCGAAGAGGAAAGTGAAGATGCTGGTCCACAGCATGGAGTGGAACATGGCGTCCCACGTGAAGAGTCGGGTCAGCAGAACATTCTACAAGTAGAGAAAAAAGGAAAGATGAAATGTTTTGCAAAGCAAATGCACCTTCATAGTTCAACAAATTATTGCTCTGTCTTACTCAAACACATTCATGTTCATATATGGTGACCAGCCCCTCCAACTAGACCTTTTACATATGAAATCCAACGCCATAGGGTGTTGGCTACAGCACCAGTGTATTTTACTTGTATTGGTTCTTATTACTTACATGCGAAATAAAAATGAATACAAATACAACACAAACGATACTAACCCCTGGCCTGTCTGGATGGTACAGGCATGTGTAGGACGTCCCTGGAGGGTAGGTGTCGTTGAAATTCAGGACATCCCTATAATTTTGCCCCGCATCTCTCTGGCACGGTGCTGTCGCACACTGTTCATGCTGAAAAAAAAGGAAGTATCGCCTGTGTCAGTCACGTCTTCATCTTGTTTCCATTATCTTTCAACAGTTCAGTTTCATCGCATAATCATGATTGCATTTTTAACTTCAACATGGAGATTTCGGTAATACTATCTAAACTTGGTTACAAAGTTTCAAACAATAAAGAAGGTGATGTATTGTCAGATATTGTCAATTTTTGCTATGACAATGGTAACGTTAAGTGCAATGCAAAGTGTTGAAGTATAGCAATGAAGTATAACTGTTGACGTATAACATCTATGGATTCATAAAATGTATAGTTGGGTCAAAAAGTGACAAATGTTCATTATCTTGTGACCCTGATATACATAGTCGTAATCGCTACATGTTATATTTCAAATGCGTTGTACATGTCGACCACGATACCCTGCATATGTTCGTGACAACATATAGAGAATTGATTTATGGATTGATTGTTACCTCGGCGGAGCCTCCATTGCTGTTCAGCCTTTGCTCAGTGTCGAAAAGTACACCGTCGACGGTGCCGTTGTTTACAACATACGTCACAGTCATGCGCAGACAGGGGTAGGTAGAGCTGCAGTCCTTACCACAGCCACAGCGAATGCTTCTCCCTAAAAAGATGAAGTCATTATTGGGATGACGAAATTACAGAAAAATCCAAAGGAAGCATCTTTCATGCTAGTGTTTATGCCAGAATCAAACTAGTGTGTTACATCGAATATACAGACACGGAATTGTATATGACCATGTTGAAAGAATGCTGCAAACATCGTTAAGTGTGACCTCGCATAATAGATCACGTCCCCTCGTTCGTTCATTGTATCTACTACATATGAATTATAAATAACCTAGTGTGAAGATTGCTGTCACTAAATCAGATTGTGCTATCTTGTCACTGACACCAAATTAAAGTTACTGTTGTCATTTTCCTCCCAAAGCTGAAAGGTTGCGGAGCTAACAACCAGTTCCCAGAAAAAAGGCTTCAAGTACAGGGAAAACTGTTAAATGTTCACTGTTAAATGTAGTTATAATTTAGGATGACGAAAAAATATATACCTGAGTGTATTCTTAGGAATTCATAAAAAAACAACTGCTTATTTATTTACATCAGCGTATTAATAGACACTTACCTGTAAGATAACTTTGGTTTGTGGTGCAAGTTGTCTCCTGGAACTCCAGAGACTTCGTCTCCACGACCGGTTTGGTGATGACGACCCCACAGACAATGAGTCCCACCGCGCAACATGCCGCCATGACCCCGGCAAATACAGCCCAACCGCAGCACCAGCCGGCCTGTTTCAGCGCAGCCTGCCGTTCGCGATCATCATGCATCTTGCCACGCTCCTGAAGAGAAGAAAGAATGGTATCTTGAAGTTTGGATTGCAACGATGCATGGGTTTGTGGGCCAATTTTTGAAGAGCCCGTGTTTTCGAAGGGTCGCAGAACACAGTATTAATGGGCGACCCCTGGTCTATGACGTAGTTATACAAAGTAGTGCGGACAAAACTCTTGAATCCGGCTATAGCTAGGAACATTTCAGAACATATACGCTGGCCGTGTTTCTCTAGTGCACTTTATGCGCGTCGAATTGAGTCACCTTGGGGTCTTTAACTATATAAATCCCAGTAGGGCGAAAACTGTGTTCCGCAACCTTAACCAGGTCTATTGTCCTCGACATGCTTTGAAAAAAAAGGGCGTGTGCTATCCGGTTTCTGTCAACTCTAAAGGAGGTCGCTTTTACTATTCAACCTTGATCTAGAAATAATACAAGTGAGGAAAGCTTAATTGAACATGCCATTATCAATTTAATTAAGGGAAATTGTTTTCTTGTTAAAAAAATAAGAAGATTTGGGGTTTTCTGTCTGCTGCTTTTCTTTGCAAGCATAGCGTGACGGTGTAAATAGAACCACGGTTCGACCTGCCTACCGTGAGGACAGTTTCTTCCTCGATTTATTGTTTGTTTATCATCATCATACCATCTTGCCATACGATGATAACGTCAGGAAGACCTTATCCTGTCATAGACATTATAAAACGCCTATGGTATACTCTTCCTGACTTAATCTCCCGGATGCGCTTTATATCTAGCTCGGTGGACATAGCTGCCGGCCCCGTTGCAGGTTTGCACCCAGGCCAGGGTACTAAAACAAGGATACTGTAGTGGAGGGGGTGGTGGTAGTATTGAGCCTACACTCAGCCCTTGGTGGAAATGGTAACTCGTCTGGTATCTTATTGAACATCGTGATTTGGCCAGTTTCAAGTGTACCTTTACCAACCCACGTAGTCTTGCACCTGGCATTACTATCCCCGCAAATACACCAACATCGACGCCTGTTAACGTATCTGAGCTGTTAAAGGTGTAAAGAGCACGAGAAACACGAAGCTTACTTACTTCCGAAGGCACAGGAACAGGTAAGAAGACGACTGAACTTCGCCGTTTCGTCGCACCGACTGGTGTTAGTCACCGTCAGCAGCTGCGTATGACCTGCCTGATGACGACACCTGTTACCATGGCTGCATGGCTGCAGGGCGAGGCCTGGGCTCGTGTGAGATCAGGTTACAATAGGTACATACAGGCGCCTATTCTACTCTCGACTGGCTGAAGAAGGCGGACAACACAACACTATCTAAAGTTTAAGAAGAACATTGATGCGTACATATAGGTCCCTTTGAAATACATTTTGCACCCAGAATCGGTAAAGAATTTTGGCGTTCTGCTGTAGTGTTGTGATAACAATATTTGGCCGGATACTCGCACCACCTATTTTCAGGTATGCCTCTTAATCTTAAACATTATCATTATAATTCAAAGATTCGAACAATTCATCACAACTCTCCTCTTACATCTGAAATCATTATCCCATGATAATCAACACTCTTACTATCATGCTCAAACTCAAAATACTCCTACTTAGAGCTGGAGTCCAAGCAATTGGAACAGCAGGTATTTCATAAGTATATATTTACAAAGGGTTTCTTCCATAACGAATCTGGTAAAAAAAACTGTCATCGTCGTCAAAGCAGACATTGATGCTGGTGTATTCCATAGTGTTTTGCTGTAGTTCAGTTATACAATATCTCAACGGCGCTATTTATTAAAGACACGTATTTGCAAACTGTCGAGGCTGGAATAGCAGTTTGTTTATCTGTACACCGTCCGATTTACTCTTGGGCAGGTCCATTCGAAAGCGATCATGTGTAGTTCCTTTTGTCAGGACGTCTTAACAGTGACATGACCTGACCTTTGGCATGCGCAGGGTTGTCGTGACATTGCTCCTCACATCAATTCACCTGTCTTTTCTGCTTGTTCTATGCGCTATACGGCAACGCTGTGACGACAAATTTGTATAGTGGAAGGCATGAACAGCATAGCAACAATGGCTATGAACAGCGTAGCAACAATATGAATGGTTATTAGATGCAGTGACCACAACGCAATTATATACCTCAACAAACCAGCATAAGCTTATATCATCGTGGCATGTTATTATACAGTCTCAAGAATATACTCTGATGAGGCTGATACCAATTAGCACGTGTGTAATACTATGGTCAATACGGACTGATCACGAAAGAGGCTATAACCTTGTATATACATATATATATACATAACACAGTATTGTATGCACACACAGCGTCGTACACACACACTGGCTGGCACACACACACTGGCTGGCACACACACACACACACACACACACACACACACACACACACACACACACACACACACACACACACACACTCACACAAACACAAACACACACTCTCTGTCTTTTACGATGGTATTGGTTCTATAGAGAGCATCTAATCAGCAATCTGTACAGATACTAGACTCAGTTATATGAGAACCCTGAGGAGTAGTCGGTCTTGTACAGGTCGCTAGGCGGCGGAGGAGGCTGCATCTGCAGTGCTGTTGGGTCCGATTGGCCGGTGCCAGGATAGGCCGGGGGCGGTCCCGGAGGCGGTCCCGGCGGCAGGAAGTGTCCCTTTCTTGCCATGGGTGCACCCGGTGGTACTGCCACTTGTATGGACGACATCTTGTCCTTGATCTTCTTACACTGATCGCAGACGTAGAGTGAGAGGATGGAAAAGATGACGAATCCGACAGAGCTCCACAGCATGGAGTGGAACATGTGATCCCATGTGAACAACCTCTTCAGCAGGACTTTCTACAGTGAAAAAAGGAAACCTTGAGACAAAATAATAACAGTAAAGCTATGTCCACTCAGCTTTGGGTAATCAACTGTCTATTGGAACCGCCCGAAAAATCTTAAAATTATAAAATGTATGTCCAAGGATTTTCTATCACGTATCTGATTTCGTACAAAGCAATACATACAAGTACAATCATCATCATAAATATTATATTCAAACATAGAAAAGTTTGTTCATATAATTCAGTTGTATACATTTTGTACTGATTGATTGATTGAGAATACATGACTTGTACTGACCGTGGGTGCGTCTGGATGGTACAGGCATGTGTAGTTTTTCCCAGCGCCATAGGTGGAGTTGAAGTTCAGTACAGATCTGCTGTTGCTACCTGCGTTACGTTCGCACGGTGCAGTCACGCACTGCCAAGCCTGAAAATGTCAGTCAACACTTTGTTGGTTTCATAATATATATACTAATATATACTCACTGTATTTGTAAGTGTTGTCTTGTCTTATGACAGCTTTAATGGTATAGAAGTGGCGGTATCAAAATATGACGTCTTACGTACGAGTGTGTTTAAAAGCTGTAACACACAGCTGCTGTCAGCCATTTTTTAACGTAACATTCTGGTATTTTGTGGTGGTGTCACAAACTGAGTGCAGGATCGTTATCGACAGTCAAACATGAATGTGATACAGGGACAGAACAACAGTGAAATACAGTTGCTGTACCAATGCCAATAATTAAGACCCTACGTTTTTAGTAGTTACATGTACAAGCATTCATAACAACTTAGTCTTATATATGACCATGAAGGACCATTTTAGATACAAAACAGAGTTTAATTCGTGTGTAGTAGTTTCTATATCTGCCTTGTTTCCATCACTGCTTAAAAAACATTGACACCCTCATTATTCATTAAATCTACACGCGGCCAAAGGTCTAAGTGTTGAAGAAAACAGCCTGGCCATGTATACTTGATTAAGCTTAAGCCGGCACCTCTTCCTTGTGTCCATCGTGGTTCAGCCTTTGCTCAGTGTCGAATAGCACAGCGTCGATAGTGCCACTGGTGGCGTTAGCGGCGTTGTCATTGTTCAGAACGTACGTCACAGTCATGCGCAGGCAGGGGTACTGAGAATGGCAGTCCTTCCCACAGCTACAACCAATGTACTGCCCTGAAAACAGAACAATCAAGAGAACGTGTTTTCAACATATGCCACAGCAAGGACATTACTAGCATCGATGTGCTGGCGTATGTACATATTGGGGGCTGCATTTCTAACCACAGCCACAAGTAATCTACCGCCCTATATCAAGAAAGTTGGCTTTAAAGTAACGTGCTAGTAATGTGTGTGATATCTAGCAACATATCCTGACCCGTAAACTTTAAAGTTTCATCAGAGTGAAAGGGCGCTAGCAAGAGCCATGTTTCTATCATATTTCTAGTTCAATGCCGAGAAGTGGTCGTATAGGCTTTGCATTGAACCACTCACCGCAACAGCGGTGTATACTAGACTTGTTTCAAAACTCAGATGCGTAAAAAACAAACAAGAAGTACATGACCTTTCCTGGTCTTACGTGACCGTGGAATGCCTACACACGTATACTAGTATATCATCCGTAATAGTAAGTGAGACTCACCAGTGAGATAACCTGTTGTTGTGGTACACGTTGTCTGCTGAAACTCCAGAGACTTGGTCTCCACGATCGGTTTGACGATGATGACTCCGCAGGCAATAAGACTGGCCGCTGCACCTGCCGCCAGCATCACAACCAGCCAGCCATAACACTTGTAGTCCTTATACTTCTTGGCCAGAGCCCGTCTTTGGTCCATCTTGTAGCGTTCCTGACACGAAGAATGGCATTTACAAATTTAGAGAGTAGCTCTGTTGCTTTAAAGGTATTGTATTCTTAAGAGGGCCGGTATTGTATTAGGGATTTTGAGTAGGAATGTTTCCTTTGTTTGTGAATATGGGTGTGTACTATCGAGTTTCTAGGCTATTCTGGCCAAGGAGGTTATGTAACCAACACCAAGTAGGTCAACTCTATGTTCAATCCATTTTTTCTGACGAACGTGCAAGGGAAAGAACGTTCTGTAATGAAATTCTTGTTTTCACGGATAACGATGTTGTATACGGAGCGAGAATGTTCAAAGATCTTGTCTGCAAATCGATTAAAAAGAGTAATCTGGTATCCTGTTTCTATTCACGCTCTGTCGGCACCGTGACAAGTCGACAGTTCCGTGTATACAGACACAGAGGTCTTGAGGCAGCTTTAGCAGTGCGTTTCTGTTCTTTTCTGACCACTATCACGAGGAACTAACGTGTTTGTGAGGAATATGAGGAGAAAGAATATCATAGAGCCTGTCAATCCGTGTCGAATTGTACAAGGACCCACCTGACGTTACATACATACGCCATTTTCATAGAACAGAGCCACACTGTTGGGGCCATTCATGCCTTTTGATACACGCAAAGACGTCCACGTAGGAAATACGTACTAGATTTGAAAATGTACTTACCTTTGGAAGCACAGGGACGCACGAGAAAACGCGAAAACGCACAGGTCGGTGCCGTCGGCTGCTACGCACGCCCCACGTGTCACGTGATGTTGCTGCCATAGTTGCAGTCATCTGATACCACAAGGGACGTAGATGGGAGGTTCGGCTACGGTTGGCCGGTGGTTGTCTGGTGTCTGGGAGTGTTCGGGGCGTTCAGGGGTCACATTTGACCTTGATTTAACTCAAATTCGATTCTATTCGCATAATAAAGGTAGGCGTTGTTGCAACGCACTAGTGATAAGGTGGCTTCGACATTGACATATTTTGCATAGATTTATTACAACATCAAATCTTTCTGACATCGAAATGCAAATTTGTTCAATTCGAAATCTTCATGTAAAAAATGTGATATGTTCTTTACATACGTTTCAATTATAAATAGATATGTTTTAAATAATAGACGTGTGGCTTCTAACGATGCATGGCAACAACATTTTGTTGCAAAATATTGGACTTTTATTTCCATGGTATACCATGAAGACATGCATATATATTAAATATCACAACACTCAGCATTATATGACCCGACTCAACATTATCATATAATCAAGAAAAAGGATTTAAAACCATGATTATCTTCATTCGCACGTGCATTAATATAGTAAGTGATGTACAATCTGAACAACAGCAACATAAAGGGTCATAAACTTTTAAAGACGCATTCTAAAACAATGAAAATCCAAATATAGATGGTGTTATTGTTAAAACATCCTCCAACTGACCCTCAAATTAAGTAGGACTTTTTATGATATTTCTATTACATGTCCACATTTAAAAACCAGTAGTTCATAACATTTTAAGGAAAGTTGAAAAGTAAAACAGAAGAGGGTATTCACGCCGCCATCTGAGAGCCCAAAGACAAGAAATGTTACTCTGAAATAGGAATACTTTCTCGTTCTTACCTCTTTAACATTGCCGTAGCAAAATGTCTTTCACGTACACCTATCGTATGAATTAGATTGAGGGTGAGTAGTGTTCAAAATAACCTATGCTGATAACAGATATTATAACGCGCACGATTTCATCTCGGAGTTTATTCAGAAGGACACCTCGGTGAGCCGCGATCCTATATTCCAGTGTGCATGTGGAGAAATTAGAATGTGAATGTATATCAGGACAAATAACACGTTAACATGTACTTTTAGAAGACCCCATAAGTTCTTAGCCATGTATATGGCCCACCTTAAGTGCAGATGCTACCACTACTGAATTATTCAGTAACATCGCTTATTTGCAATTTGAATATCTGGCCCATTTCTGAATAAATTTTTAACCGTAACAAATGACATGCGCAGGTTCTGTATTCTATAGCTATATAAATCAGAAACTATTCTCTTTGAAACAGAAACAAAGTTTGATCTCCTTGTGGGCTCTTTCACGTGCGTGAGGTGTGGTTCTCCTAAAACACGGGAGCCCCATTTAACGTCCTTTCTGAGAAACGTCCCTAACTGAAGCTAGGTACTAATTTTCACATAAGTAGAGTAAGGGAAAAGGTGTCCTCACCTGCTTTCTTGCACCGAAGGTAGATGTAGACGGTGACACCTGCACAGATGACGAATCCGATGGAGCTCCACAGCATGGAGTGAAACATGTCGTCCCACGTGAATAGCCTCTTCAGCAGGACTTGCTGCACGAAACAAAAATGAGGAAACCCACACATAGCTGAGCTCACCTAGCTTTATCCTGGTACGAATTTTGGCAAAGACTGTGTCTGTTGTAAAAATTCAATATCTGATCACCGCGAAATCCCAAACTGTGATTTATGACATATCATTTACATGCAATTACATGAATTCCATAATAAGACCCTACAATGGCTAAAATGTATGGTGTCCTATGTCTATGCGCCGAGACCTATGTGTGAATACAACAGGGCATTGCGGTTACCTTTTGGTGTCGTTTCGATCATTTTCCCCACTCACCCATTGTAGTGGCCTACAGTGACTTCGTTGAATGGACACTCACTCTACCTACGTTTGACTGTTATACTAGTATCTATCATCTAAATGCGGACGGTGATGCTGACCTCAGTATTATCTGGGTTGTAGAGACACTTGTAGGATTGCCCCGCGGCGTGGGTGTCCTGGAAGTGCTCGACTTCTTTGCGGGTCTCCGCCTTGCTCCTGTCGCAAGGTGCAGTTGCACACTGTACCTCCTGCAGGCCAGGAAAAACAAGAAAGATATTTCAGACCTCCTGCAAGTGTTGGACGGGCCATTGTGCAATCCTTGGCTTCCCGAATCCCCCAATTCTGGCAGCTGTTAAAAGACGTGTTCAAAGCCATTTCCTGTGTCTGACTTTTTGACCTCCTGTCATTTTTTCTGTCAATCTTCAGCCCACCCAAGTGCTGTCAACCTACTCCATATGGACAAGCCGGAAAAGAATAGATTCCAGGATAGGCTAGTAGATGTAAATGTGCGTGATTACATCTTATTCAACTAGACATGACACAGTAGACACGTGGTAAGTCTTAAACCAAAGCACCTCGTCACTGTGTCCATCTTGGTTCAGCCGCTGTTCGGTGTCGAACAGAACACCGCTGTGTGTGGCCCGGTGTTCATCAGTGTACGACACGGTGATGTGCAGACAGGGGTAGGTGGACTTACAGTTCTTACCGCAGTCACAGGCTATGTCCCTACCTACAGCAACAACAACAACATGTTAGAGAACCGAGAAGAGAGACGAAAACGTACCAGGCTTCATCATCACTGCTAGAAAGAGTAGAAAAATGGCCAAATAAGACAGTTGACATAGTCTCCAACAGACTTCTTTTGCAGGCTGAATAAATAGTAGAAATTGACCAAAAAGGCAGGCAAATTGGGCCACCTTCTCTGGCCAGCTATGTTCCCTTTTTAGGCCGATTTCTACTATTTATTTATGCGCCTGCAAAAGAAGTCTGGTGGAGACTTAGCTGACATGCCAGAAAGACAAACTGTACTTCTTACTCTTAGCGGACTAACTCATTGGCATGTTATCTGTCTATTTGGTCAATTTCTATATCTATCTGCAATGAAAAATGATGTGAGGGCACGTGTCCTTAGTGGGCACATTCATGTTGAAACATGCATACAGACATAACTACCATAGCCACGCCTGTATTCATCATGCATTACTGAATTCTATATATAAAGGATACAAAAGTGGCCCTCACCAGTGAAATAACTCCTTGTTGTTGTACACGTTGTTTCCTTGAACTCGAGAGAGTTCGTCTCCACGATGGGTTTGACGATGACGATCCCACAGACAACGATGGCCGCCACACAACCTGCCGTTACAGATATGGCTACGATCAGCCACATTTTGTACATGTTGTACTGCCCTAACGCGGATTGTTGTTTGTCCATCTTGCAGTGTATAGAAAGAAAAAAAAGTCATTTGAGAACAATTCTTCAGAGGAAACTTAAAGCATCAGATTGGTATAAAATGCTCCTTTTTGTCTGAAAAGAGCAAATAAAAATATTTTGAAAGCCTCCCTTTAAAGCCATTTAATACCTACTTTGAACAGTATCTCTCCCAGGGGACTATTTGAGAAGGTCTATTGTATTCTTTCGACCTTGGTTCCGTAAATATGGACGAATGCATTTAAACATTTAGACTGAATCTCTATCCGATATTCGGTTTATATTCAAGAGAAACGCATACAAATGTCCCTTGATAAAAATATCATGTAATCATGAGATAAAGATACCGTTCAATCTTAGGAGGAACAGGTTTTCTCCCAAAATTCTGGTTCGGGTTTTGTTTTCGGTTCACTTCTTCTTTACGCATCATTTACGCCTGGTCATGGCAACTGCAATTACACCTGTCCCCTTTTCATTTTGAACGGTCCTCTAACATTTTAACGTAAAATTAGCTTTTTAGTTCAAGCTGTGTTAAAAAAATATGCCCCTGAAGACCGTTGCCAGTATTCAGTCGGTGAGACAAACAATATATTGTTATATAGCAATAAAAGTTCTCCTTCGAGAGAATTCGAGCACATACCTATACCTGTACATACCTGGATGCTATATTTGTGGCGTAGTCAACAAAAGAAGAAGAAACACTCTCTTGTATCCATATTCAAATTTAAGGAGTCAAAGCTTACATCAAAAGAGTATGAAGACGACTTACTCTTGTAGCTGCAGGCTCAAGCTGAGAAAACAAACGTGTGCGCTTCGACGTTAAAACGTTCTACAAAATGGGATGACTAATCGTCACTTGAGGACGCTGTCTCCCTTTGTTACGGATAAGTGCTCAGAGTTGGGGTCAACGTGCTGTAGGTCGACTGGCTCTTGGTAGACGTGCTTATATGGTCCCGTTGCTGAGTCGTCCACATGTACTGAAGAATGATTTGTGATTATTCCCTCTTCAATTATTATTAACTCCATAAAAATTGGAGGTACTGTTTTCGGCATGTTTGTGGGTGTGTGTCTGTGTTTTCGCATATTTGTGGTCAGCGTAAATAAAGGAAGCCTTTATGGATTGTGATGATATTTGGTCTGCGGATACGAGGTCTTGGAAAGGCAAAGGTCAAGGCCAAATATGGGTCTCCTGGTAGCTGTACTGCACCAGAACCTTCGGTTTTTGTATCTTTTGTCTTGAACATGCTATATGGTCTTCATTTATCTGGTGGCAGATAGGTTTTCCTCTTGTGCCTATGCTTAGATTGGATATATTGTAAGAAAATATCACAAGAAGGTTAGATTTCATTATTTCCTATCCACACACTCCGGGAATATAATGACAAAATAGGATAATCAATCTTGCATGGGTTTTACTGATGCAATACAGCATAAAACATCCCATGGTTTTACATTTAAAATCAAAACAACATACACTAGAGGCAGTGTATATGTTATATGTCGTACATGAACATAATGCTTAGTTATACTGATCCCGGGAAAATCCCCTGTGTATACGAAAAAATAGGCGTGTACAAAGTTAACGCAAGCACGTTATTTTCAAATCTAGATGTCAATGTTCAGTAATGTGTAGCTGTATATAGTCTGACATGAAGAAAGCAACATTTGAGTGGAAACCTACTATCCTTTTGTTGAGTTTTGCCTGAATTGCCCAACATATATATATATATATTCGTTCTGTACAATGATACTACCTACTGCAATATGCATGTAATATATACATATGAAA